CTCCGCTGCTTTCGAGCCATGTGTCACGCTCGTTCAGCGGCCTTGTTTTCGCTTCGACGGCTTTCAGCCTCACCCTGCTTCATTCTACTATGTTAATAAATCATTAGCTCATCCATGAACATGATTTCTGCCGGAGTCCCGTCGGATTGCTTCGGCTGTGGGGATGAAGACGACAACTCCCATGATTCCACACTCAGTCACGGCGTCATCTAATTACGCCTTTGTTTCTTTGTTTGTTTTGAATACGCGCCCTCTAGCAGCGAAAACTTAAATATTGTGCCTTTAATGTATTAATTAAAGGGATAGTTCACCCAAGAATGAAAATTTGATGTTTATCTGCTTACCCCCAGGGCATCCAAGATGTAGGTGACTTTGTTTCTTCAGTTGAACACATTTGATGATTTTTAACTTTAACCGTTGGAGTCCACCGTTGCAGTTTGTCAGTCATATAATGCATGGCAATAGTAACAAAATCTATGAGTGTAAAAAAAACATCCAGACAAATCCAAATTAAACCCTGCGGCTCGTGACGACACATTGATGTCCTAACACACGAAACGATCGGTTTGGGCCAGAAACCGAACAGTATTTATATCATTTTTTACCGCTAATACAGCACTATGTCCAACTGTCTTTGTGCGCGCGCACTACTTCCGATGCGTGAGATGTGTACGCGCTCTGGCGTAGTTTACGTTAATGGGTGTGTTAGGTGTGTTGTCGCGGGAGGAGCAAACGACAGACACAAAAGGGAATCAAGTGCCCAAAATAAACAGGGGATCTGGTGTCCTCGTCGTGCTGCGGGGTTTGTGAAGGGAAGGGCAGTGGTCAGGAAGGAAGGGTCCAGGTAAGGGGCGGAGTCCGGCGGCCGCACGCGCTCCCCTCTCCAGTCCGGGGCGCTTCTATCAGCGACTTTCTTCCTTCTCTCTGCCCACGGTGCTTGAAGGGACTAGACGGCCCAGCATCCTAGCCCGATGTCCGTGTAATGGGTGCGGTTCTCGTCCGGAATGCGGGTCCGGCACTATGGAGGCACGGGAGTCCCTCTACGCACTCCCCCCCTCCGGACCCACGAGGACACCAGCGTGCATGCACGGGGAAGAGACTGGTCTCCCGAGGACAGTTTTCATTCTTGGGTGAACTATCCCTTTAACATGAACTAACAATGAACCATACATTTGTTACAGTATGTATTAATGTTTGATAATGTTAGTTAATGAAAAAGATGACAAATATGAGAAACAACATTGCAAACAATCAATTGCATTACTTTATTAATAAAAGTCTTTCTGCTCTATTTTAAGACATCTTTAAAGGCTCATTTTAGGTGAAATAAGACTTTTAAAGACCAGCAGAATCCCTGTCACTTCGAATATTAACACACATCATAAAACATGTCATAAATGTTTGAAATCGCACACATTTGCAATGACACTATGATTATGACCAAAGCATTAGAGATGCACCGGTTGACCGGCCAGAGATCGGAATCGGCCGATTTTTCGCATGACCGGCCCGGATCGGTGACCGGCCGGTCAGTTTCACGTCTTGCCGATTCCGAGCCGATGCTTTTATTGCCAGCGGTGCCGGCAATGACGTCACAGCCACGCGCACACTCACAGTCTATTAGAATGTTTCTAATTTTAATTGCATTCATTGTAGACGGTGACTGATAATGTATTTATGTCGTGCCAGATGAGGCTTGGACAGTCTGAGTGAGTGTGTGAGAGAGACAGCACACACAAAGTTGTTTAGTCATATTTAAAAGTATCATTGCATTTTTTCAACATTTTGTATATTTAAAATCTTATAATCTTAATTTTATCAAATTTATGCATTTGAAATTTTGCAGTGTAAATGCATTTATGGCACCTCAGCTTCATCAAACTGTCTGTGTAAATGCGTCTAATGCACCTTCAGATGCAGCTTCTGTTTCCTCAGCAGTGGAAAGATAGAGTTTGTTAATACTAATTTCATTTGAATGGTAACAACTCTACAGTTTCTTATTATTCTAACTGAATTAATTGAAACAAAGTAAGAATTTGATGTGAAAGATGACATTTAATAAGGTTAGGGGAAAAATTAACCATTTATAAACATAGTGGTAAATGACATCTGTTTTGTTACGTACAGCAACTCATTTTAAGTTAACTATTTCTTCCTCTTTCCAGTCACAAAGCACTTTATTTTGAGAGAAAATCTGTAACTTAGTCCAGATTGGGGGAATTGTAATGTTTAATAATTTATTTTATGTAAATAATTTTTGCATTGAAATTTCATAGATGTTTGTTTGTATATGCTGTCAATTATAGTTCTTAGAAAGAAAATCGGTATCGGCAGGTCACATTTCCAAAAAATCGGAAATCGGAATCGGCCAAGAAAATTGCAATCGATGCATCTCTACAAAGCATCCTTACAATTAAAAACCGTTAACGCAAACACACATTTTTTTAAGAAAACATAAGTAAGTTAATGTTCTTTGACTTACTGCCACCGAATCTCGAATCCACCATACCTTTTGAACATCCGGAAGTGAATGAACCTGTACATGTGCATTAACGCCAGTCAGTACGGCGCGCATGCGTATTTAAGACATGCGATACGTCACTTTGCACATGCGTGGTAAACGCATACATACGTGACATAGGTAAAAATAAAACCTACGTGACGTAGGCACGTGACATCACCACCGTAATACAATCTGCAGCGAGGAGTACGCCAAGTGACATGACTTGCCTTAAAGGGAATTTGAACAAAACAGCATGCGTAAAAGCTTCGAAGCTTGCATTTTTTTGCCACATTCAACAGTTACTGTATTTGCATTATTTTGAGGTTAGATTTAGGGTTTAAATTAGGGATGCTCCGATCCTCTAGAAAAATCAGTGCACAATAATTTTAGAAAACCAAACATTTAGTTAACATTTAGTAAACATTAAAACAATATTTTGTGGGGGAAAAATAAAAGTGTTGCACTAAATATGGTAAAATGTTACACATTGCTATTTGTATTATTATAAAATTCATTCATTAAAGTGTTCTGTGAGTGAAAATATATCTGTGCTAATCATATACTCAGACTCTAACTCACACACTGACGAATAAAATCTGAGAATTTATCAGCCATTGGCTAATATTAGACATCGTTTAGTTGCCCAGAGTGAAGATTTAGTCGCAATGTAGAGGGTTGACAGTCTATGAGCACGAAGCGCATTGTAAGCGCTTTGTGTTTAAAAACTGCAAAGCACAAAGGGAAGAGAAATGGATGCGTAGTGTATTATATCTGTGCAACAGTTATTGAGCCTTTTAACAGTTTTAAATTTCAGTTACTGTGCACGTTAAAAACAATTTATAGTCTTTTCTACACCCGTGTTTTGTTCTCACAGACACCCGGTAGCAAGTAACAAAACATTAAACTCCGGCTAGAAGATAAAGTCCTTTTTGTAAAATCATAGACATGTATTTACAAATCAAGTATAATGGGAACACAGTATGATCTTGGAGAGAGCTGTACCGAGCTGACTGCTGTAACTGAATGCGACCAGGGTTTAAAGGCTGAACGAATGACTGACAGCCACAGCGGAGAAAAGAGTTTGTGTGAACTTTAATGTAAGGACTTAAATATTCATATGTAGCTCACATTAAGCTATCGTATGGCTTCAGAAGTAACACCGAATAATTCGCACAATCGAGAGAGAAAAAAAAAAGAAAGAAAAATCTCGGATTTGGATGGCTCTCTCTGATCGATACCCGATCTGAGAAAAATGGCATTATCGGAGCCGATACCCGATATGAATATTGGATCAGCGCATCCCTAAAATAGGTGTAGACGTTAATAAAACACAATCTGACCGGTAGCAAATGTAATTTATTTTATGGCGAGATTTTGCTTCACTTCCAGCCTTAGCTGTATCCCTCCCATTAAAAAGCTAACTGACCTCATTCCATTCAGTATTTAAGGACATTCAGATCTAGTTGTTTAAAGAAAAACACACCAGTACTTCAAAAAGATGTTTTGGCTTGTTTTATTGTAAATACGACAAAAAGGAAACAATTTTATTTTACAGTTATTGATCTATATATTGGCATGAATTAATATTTAAACATTTTAAGAGACACCTGTGAGATTCTGGTTTATTCAAGTTGCAGCAAATGCATGAAACAGCAGGTGGGGACTGAATTTAAAAATTACATCTGAATCTAAATAAATCATCCATTATTTACTTCCTGCCAAAAACTATTCATTCCTCTCCTCTCCACAAACGATGCAGACATATAAAGTAAAATAAATTAAAATAATATGCAATCATCATGATCAGATACACCTTGCAAAATAAATGAACGAAAGGTATTTAGCAAATGTACAAATCAAATCAAATATACAGTACTGACCACCTACACAGAGACAAACCTGCATGTTATGTATGCGCCCGCTGTCTCATGTATAATTCACATCCAATGGCCAATGAAAAGGCAGAGCAACAAATTATTTGCATAATTTATTCATGTTTTCAGTTCTGAACTCAGTCTTAGCTTCCAGCTGACTAGTAATTACACCCCTGTAGTAAAACGACTATATTTCAGTATCAGTGCTGTTGATTGAAAAATATCCTTCTCACTCTTTTCTCACACTTTTTAAATAGGGGGATGAAAGAAATGTCTCACTATTCGTGTATGTGGATTTCAAACATCTCAATCCATGTATTTAACCGCCTTTCTGCAGTCACTCTCGGCTACAAGGATATTGCTTACTGTGGCTGTGGTTGTACAACGTAATCATCACATATGATTATAATATTATTTAAATACAACAAACATCAATGCACAAATTATACAATGGAGAATGGGTCTAAAATGTGGAAGACCAAAGAAAAATAAATCCTTATACCATGATAAATTATGGGTTGTTATCGGTGCAATGTGTCTGATACAAAAACATCAACATTAACAATTGTTCTTTTTTTTCATAAATAATGAAACGTGTGAGTGAGGGAGGGTTTCTTTTTCTCTTTTTTTTTCTCCTCTTTATTCTTTTTTTATGGCCCGCTTACATGCCTGGCTTTCCTAACCATCACAATATTTACATATATGACAAAACAATTACCAAATATACAAAGAGGAAAGAGAAGCTTGTTTCCTGTCTGAGCAGTTCACTTCCTCCCTGTGAATCAGCAGGCCTTCATCTATAATCATCCAAATCATCATTTTGTTGGAACTACACAATATCTTACAGCAAGTCATTAATAAATTAAAGGATTATGGGATCTTCCGTAATGGAGAGCGAGCGGGAAGTATGATTTTTATCCCTTTGTAGTGAAGAACTGCGCCATTGCAGTTTGTATTTACAAAGACTAAGTTCACCGCTGCATCTTAATCCCACCCCAGACCCCCTTCCTCAAAAAATCAGTTTGTTGGTGGTTTATCTCTAAGCCTCTTCTGCTGGGAACTGCGGTACAGTCCATCCAGTCCTGCTGTCCTACTGGCTTCGATCTTGCATGATGATCTTCACAGACAAAAGGACATTTGGCAACTCATCATAGTATGTGGGGAGTGAAGGACAACCCTAAAGGTCTAAGTAACGTTAGCGATATGTCTTGTGTTTTCATCCGGGTTTAACTCCACCCTGAACTTAGAGGGACACCACCTTCTGTCAAGCAGGACATGGACTCCACTTTTCTCACTGCTTCAACTGCGGGCCCTAAACAAGGTCCCTCTCTCTCTGTTCTGTCTCAGTATCTGTTCTGGTGTTCGTAGTGCCATCGATTGAAATCAATGTTAAACGCCACGATGCTGCCTGACGCCATCCCAGTGATCAAAGTCCTGCAAATATATAGAAAAAGTAATAAATTAATAAGAAAAATGTCCATAATATAAATGTGTATAGTACTAAGTCATGTAAAATATAGTTTTTTTTTTTATAACTAGAAGCAAACTAGTTAACATTTTTTAACAAGTTAATATTTTAGTTAAAATAGTTAAGCAAACCAAAATATTAATATTAATATATACAGGTTATAGCAAAAAACTTTCTGTGTTTTTCTGTCAATATGGGGTGCTGTGTGTACATTAATGAGGGGAAAAAATTAACTTAGATGATTTTAGCAAATGGCTGCAATATTGTTAAGAGTGAAAATTTTAAGGGGGTCTGAATACTTTCCGTACCCACTGTATATCATAATTGTATATTTGGTGGTAGTCCGGGGGTTCTGTTTTTTTTTCTGGACTCCTTTTTAATGGTTAAATAAAATTTTATTAATCAAAAAGCATGTCTAATTAATTAAAATCATGAAAACTAAACTTAATAAATTGATGTTAAATTGTTTAACAAAAAATGACATGTTTAGGGCCCTATGAAATGTTTTTTTTCCAACCTTATGTTTTATTGTTACCAAATTCTGATTTAGCATGTCTACTTATTTGAAAGCATAAAACAAGTTTAATTTATTCTTACAATAGCCTTATTTTTTGCTCAGAAATTCTGTTGTGTATTTACATTTTTAAGGCATAAAATATTCATTTAATCTATCGTTTAAGTAATGAAAATGAAACAAATTAAATTTTTTGGAAAATAAAGGTAATTTAATATTACAATTAAAACATTGAAGAAATATTGTATGATTATTCCTTAAAAATAAGGTTTTAATAATTTTAGTAGTAGTAGTAGTAGCCTATTATGTACATTTTACTGAACAATAGTCATATTTCTGCCGCAATGCCTTCAAGTTAAACCAATTTATTTTGACGGGTTGCCGTGAATACCTTTACATTCCTGTGTTTATATGATATTATGCTAGTTTTACTCAAATGAAACGGTCAAATGCTCATGAAGTGACTCTCAGAGCAGTTCCCCTAATATAATGGCAGGGGAAACACAGTGCTGTCAAACGATTAACAAAATAAAAGTTTTTGTTTGCATAATATATGTGTGTGTTCTGTATATATTTATTATGTGTATATATAAATACACATACAGTATATATTTTGAAAATATTGAGTGGCCCGACGGAAGCCTCTCCTCAGTGCAAGACACATGAAAGCCCGCATGGAGGACTCCAAGATGGTGAGAAATAAGATTCTCTGGTCTGACCAAGATATAACTTTTTGGCCTTAATTCTAAGCGGTATGTGTGGAGAAAACCAGGCACTGCCCATCACCTGTCCAGTACAGTCCCAACAGTGAAGCATGGTGGTGGCAGTATCATGCTGTGGGGGTGTTTTTCAGCTGCAGGGACAGGATGACTGGTTGCAATCGAGGGAAAGATGAATGCGGCCAAGTACAGGGATATCCTGGACGAAAACCTTCTCCAGAGTGCTCAGGACCTCAGACTGGGCCGAAGGTTTACCTTCTAACAAGACAATGACCCTAAGCACACGGCTAAAATAACGAAGGAGTGGCTTCACCACAACTCTGTGACTGTTCTTGAATGGCCCAGCCAGGGCCCTGACTTAAACCCAATTGAGCATCTCTGGATAGACCTAAAAATGGCTGTCCACCAATGTTTACCATCCAACCTGACAGAACTGGAGAGGATCTGCCAGGAGGAATGGCAGAGGATCCCCAAATCCAGGTGTGAAAAACTTGTTGCATCTTTCCCAAAAAGACTCATGGCTGTATTAGATCAAAAGGGTGCTTCTACTAAATACTGAGCAAAGGGTCTGAATACTTAGAACCATGTGATATTTCAGTTTTTCTTTTTTAATAAATCTGCAAAAATGTCAACAATTCTGTGTTTTTCTGTCAATATGGGGTGCTGTGTGTACATTAATGAGGGGAAAAAATTAACTTAGATGATTTTAGCAAATGGCTGCAATATAACAGAGTGAAAAATTTAAGGGGGTCTGAATACTTTCCGTACCCACTGTATATCATAATTGTATATTTGGTGGTAGTCCGGGGGTTCTGTTTTTTTTTCTGGACTCCTTTTTAATGGTTAAATTAAATTTTATTAATCAAAAAGCATGTCTAATTAATTAAAATCATGAAAACTAAACTTAATAAATTGATGTTAAATTGTTTAACAAAAAATGACATGTTTAGGGCCCTATGAAATGTTTTTTTTCCAACCTTATGTTTTATTGTTACCAAATTCTGATTTAGCATGTCTACTTATTTGAAAGCATAAAACAAGTTTAATTTATTCTTACAATAGCCTTATTTTTTGCTCAGAAATTCTGTTGTGTATTTACATTTTTAAGGCATAAAATATTCATTTAATCTATCGTTTAAGTAATGAAAATGAAACAAATTAAATTTTTTGGAAAATAAAGGTAATTTAATATTACAATTAAAACATTGAAGAAATATTGTATGATTATTCCTTAAAAATAAGGTTTTAATAATTTTAGTAGTAGTAGTAGTAGCCTATTATGTACATTTTACTGAACAATAGTCATATTTCTGCCGCAATGCCTTCAAGTTAAACCAATTTATTTTGACGGGTTGCCGTGAATACCTTTACATTCCTGTGTTTATATGATATTATGCTAGTTTTACTCAAATGAAACGGTCAAATGCTCATGAAGTGACTCTCAGAGCAGTTCCCCTAATATAATGGCAGGGGAAACACAGTGCTGTCAAACGATTAACAAAATAAAAGTTTTTGTTTGCATAATATATGTGTGTGTTCTGTATATATTTATTATGTGTATATATAAATACACATACAGTATATATTTTGAAAATATTTACATGTACATGTTTGTATTTATATTAATATAATTTATATTATAAATAAATATATTTAATATATAAACATAAAATCTGAAATATATACATGCATGTGTGTGTATTTATATTTACATAATAAATATACACAGCACACATACATATATTACGTAAACAAAACTTTTATTTTGGATGCGATTGATCACAATTAATCGGTTGACAGCACATATATATATATATTTATTATATTATAAATTATACTTTTTTTTACTATAAACTTTTTTTATTTAACAAAACAACATTGTTAAAATTAATGTTCAATGTATATGTATATTATTATTTTTAGGTCAGGTGTGCCCACCTCTGGTCATGGGATAAGTCCATAGCCCTGATGCCTGCGTCACAGCCTGGGTAAATATACAGCTGCTTAAAATCACAGGCCTGCCAGACTTCAACAACACCGTTATCACCTCCTGTTACCAAGTTCTGACCGTCGCTGCTCAACAGAATGGCCTGGGGGAACACAAAAGCAGATTAAATACAGAGACTAATGTGATTAATGTGTATTTGTTTCTGTTCCAACATGTATGTCTCCTCTTACACGTGTGGAGTCATTGATCTCCATCTGTGCCAGGAGTTTGCCATTAATGCTGAAGTTACAGAAGTGTCCTCTCTCATAGTAGATGATACAGTGGCCCTCACTGGACACAGAGATCAGACGGGGCCAGACACAGTTCTCAGGGCCCTCTAGGGCCCGCAGTAAATCTCCTGTGATGGTATGCACCAAACATGGCCCCTCTGTAAAACAAGACAACAGCAAGAAACTCTCAATTCTGTCATTACACAGCAAGCAGAGACACTAAAAAGGGAGAAATTAGGAAAAAATTACAATCACAATTTTTTTAAATAAACATCTTTAAGACATATTTAATTCCTTAACTGTAATGGGTTTATATAAGCCCTCATGGAAACCAATACTAGTATGAAAAGAGTTGATTTCTGATATGCAGAATTCAGATTGCTTCCTCTCAGACTGACCTTTGGCCCCACTGATGACAAGTCCCAGTTCAGCACACACTGACACACACACCACCTCATGGTCATGGCCTGTGAGAACCGCTCTAGGTGCTGGATAATCACCTACAATACAACAGAAGGTCAGCTTCTAGAATCCTAAAAAATCGCAAAGATTTTTTTTTTGCCACAGAACTAAAACTCATTACCACACCAAAGTAAAAATGAAAAAGAAGATTATGTTAGGAATGAGATGAAGGTAGGTAAGCAGGCAATAAAAAGGAATGAATTTAATATATTCAGCAAAAAAATCAGAGACCATTTTTCTCTGAGTGTAACCTCAATGTTAAGTATTAAAATATGTCCTATGTATGTGATATCTTACACAGTATACTGTTCAAAATTTGGGGTCAGTTAGTAAGATTTTATTTTTAAGAAATTAATACTGCAAGGACGCAATTACAGTACTTGATCTGAGTGACAGCAAATAGATTTCTATTTGATAGAAAACTTTCTATTCCTCTAAGAATCTTGAAAAAAAAAAAACAGCTTCCACAAAGAATATTAAATAGTACTGATTTCAATATTAATAATAATCAGAAAGGTTCCCCGAGCACCAAATCAGCATATTGAATGATTTCTGAAGGCTCATGTGACTTTAAAGACTGGAGTAATGGCTGCTGAAAATTTAGCTTTGCATCAGGAAAAAAATACATTTAATGCATTAAAATAAAAACAGCTATTTTAAATTGTAATAATATTTCACAATATTACTGTTTTACAGTGTTTTGGATTAAATGGATGCAGCCTTGTTGAGCACTGAGTTATGTACATGAAAGCGATACTCATGTACTCTGGGTCATTTGGTTTAAAAGCATTGTGCTCACTGTTGTTGGGATTGTCTCCGATGATGTGGTGTCGTCCGCTCCAGTACCACAGCAGAAGGGTTGCATCTCGTGAGCCAGAGACAATGTAGCAATCACCTCCAATGTAGGACTCAGATCGCGCAAGACAGGTCACCACATCCCAGTGACCAAACACGATCTGAGTGAGTTTCCCTGAATGAAGAGTGAGCAGATGAGCATATGTGCACATAGACATTTTTTTTGTAGTAAAGAGTGAAAGTCTTTTATATGTACAAGTTGGCATACAAAATGGCATAAAATCCCAAAAGACACAAGCACCTGTCTCAGTGGAGTAAACACGGAAACTCTTGTCCCAGAAACCACATGCCAGGATGTAGCGGTTGTCGGCTGTCACCACAAAGCAGTGCGTGTTGATCTGAATGCTTTGATCCACCAAATCTGTGATCTGCCTTTTACTAATGCCAGAGTTATTGGCTAGGAAAGAAAACACAGACCAGGTGTGAATATTGGAAAAATATCCAGTTTGAGTCTGAAAGATACAACCAAGTTTCATCAGACTTTTAAAAAGGACAGTCCACACAAAAATGAAAATTCTCTCATAATTTACTCACCCTCATGTCATTCCAAACCTGTATGCATTTCTTACTTCTGCAGAACATAGAAGATATTTTGAAGAAAGTTGGTAACCAAACAGTTTCGGTTCCCATTGACTTTCATTTAATGGAGCAAAAACTACAATGGTCAATGGGCACTGAAACCATTTGCTTACCTACATTCTTCAAAATATCTTCTTTTGTGTTCAACAGAAGAAAGATATTCAGGTTTGGACATGAATGGGAATAAATCATGTCAGAATTCACATTTTTGGGTGAACTATGCCTTTGATGGAATTTCAGGCCTAGTGACACAAGTTACTGGCTAAACACATGGTCACATGATCTGAGGAACTTACCAATCAGAGAGTCCATTTCAATAGGAAGGTGATGAGCCTGTTCTAATGAGTATCCCGGAGCACCTCTGAGACCTAAACAAAACATATTGCTAATATTGTAAATAAACTTGCACTAAACATTAAAAAAGGTGGTTTGAAAACCTCCAATTTCTTCAACGGTTACGTCTAAGAAAGTTGCAAATGGTAGTGCTCACCGACTGTGTTGTGCCAGCGGTTGACGGCGAACAGCCGGCTGCATGTGACCGTGACCGCAGCTGGAATGCTGAGGTGAGGCAGCGTGTTGGCCGCCACATGCGTGACGGGAGAGTTGGAGGGGAATTTTAGCACCATGATTACATCTTGCTGCATTTGGTCCTTAAACATTAGAGGACTCTGAGGAAGGAAACACTAATGAGCAGAAGAGAGAAAGAGGAGGAGGAAGAGGAAAAATTGGGAAGAAAAAGGAGTAAGGAAGGGACAGGGAATTAGAAAGGTAAATTACAATGGAGCAAACAAGGTGAAAACCACAGGGTGGGATTCTGGGTAAGGATGTAGTTTAGGATCAGTTTTGGGCTGGTTTGGACCGTCAGGAGGGGGTAGGGCTGGGTGATACGTGTAACAGCCAACCCTAGACAGCCTTCTAGGTGTAAATCAGTGTCCGAACCAGCTAAATATAAAGTTTATGTACTACCGGACTGTCATTTTGCCAATTTGTGGCAGCATTTTGCATTTACGACAAAATTTGGTCCATCACAACTAGCTGCAATTCTGAGCTACATAAAATGAAAGTAATAAAGACAAATCATGATAAAAGATGTAATAACAAGAGACAATATTGATCTATTTAAAAGAGATCTAATATAGATAACTGATTAAAAAAAAAAAGTAATATAGATCACAATAAATAGAGGTTTCTTGAAGAGATGTAATAAAAACTCACCAGGTGCATGGCGGAGCTGCGTGGAGGGTGAGGCTCTATTAGCAGCTGTGATGGAGCCTGTCCAAATGACTGAATCTGAGCCTCCATAGACTAAAAAGATGACAAAGAGACAAAAACAAGCTGTTAACATCTTTATCTGACAGACCCCTGAGCTGCCTCACATCTGACAGACATTTACAGACATGGACAAGCTGAACACTGCTGTCAACATAGAAATGAAATAAACATTCACTCATTTTGGACAGAGGAGAGAAAGATATTGACAGGAAACATCATGAAAGACTAATGATTAAGCTTATCATATAAGATTTCATTTTTTCTAATGTCAAATATTTTTATAAATAAAAACAGCACTGCACTCTTGTGTGTTAAACAGTAAACAATGGTGTTTACAGGTAAATGTATTCAATATTCGATATTATTTAATTATAATAATATATTTTAAATTTGTGTCAATTGTTTTTAATTATTTCATAAATTATTTTAATTGTTTAATACATTATTAGACCTTTCAAAATGTAAAAAAATAGGATTAACTATTAAGACATTAAGTGTTTTGTCAATAATACTTACTGTCAATAATAATTAATCCTAATTACTGACATGAAACATTTTAATATTACTATTATTTATTTAAAAATATGAAATATTTTGTTGTCTTATTTAATAATTTGAGTTTTTGAGATGTTACTAAAATGCTTCACATTAAGATTACTTATGATTAATTAGTTTAAGATTGTTATATTGACATTAAGCATTTTGAGATTATTGTCTACATTAAGCGTTTTGAGATTACTTGTTATTATTGCAATATTAAATATGTAATAATCAATGTTATTAACAGCTTTGAATGTTTTTCTGTTGTCTTCATTATTTTGTTTTATTTTTACTAAAATAAAGCATTTCAGTCTGCATATTTTATTGAGACATGTAAAGATGTCAATAAAACAAAAATGTATGGGAAAAAAAATCAGTATTATAAAAAAAATCCTCCACTGGATCAATACTCACTGACCTCTCTGGCGAGGGGCCTTACCTCTCTGAGCTGGGGGTCGGTGATGGTGTCCAAGTTCACAGACCCCTCGTAAGACAGGTAATGGAAAACATTGAGAGCCCTAATGGCCTCCGGTCCTCTCTGCTTGTAGCCGAAGATGAGATCAATCCACTGGTGCAACTGACAGGACACAAATTCACTCTCCAGCGCCTGAGACAGGAAGAAGACAACAGGGTTAACACAAGGACCAATCAGGGCTTCAAAAAGAAATTACTAGCCTTGTAAAGGCTGTGCGAGGTTCAAAGTTCATTTCCTTTTTTTCTACAAACTAGAGCTGCTTTTGATTCTTGAAACACTGGCTGAATTGGAATATTAATCCTAATGGCAGCTGAAATTGCGCACTAATGTGGACCAAACAAAGGTGCATAGACACACACAATCTTTCCATCCCTCACCATCCTGTTGATGCGAACAAAGTCCTCTGGTTTTTTGGCCCAGACTGGTAGTTCCACATCACACACGGCTGTCCTGTCCTCTCTCACCCCCAGGTCATATCCGCTGCTGTTCACAAACATCTCAGGGAGGTAGTAGAACTCCGGGATCAACTCCTGTTATACAAACAAACATGTTGACAAACATGTTGACAAGATACAGAATTGCTTTACCTCACCAAATTTTGCTCACCCTAACATCTGATGTATCCCTCTGGCAACTTCGCCAAGAGCGTGCAATGCCAGAAAACGTCCGATCGGGATGGTCGAATTTGTTGTTATTACAATTCAAGAAAAATGTGCTGAAGGGTTCCTGTGGGATGAAGGAAGTGGCGCACAATTTCCAATTAAACAACTTTCATAAGAGCTTTTCTTAAAAGCAGAATTTTGAGATTTTCAAGTTCTGAGAGATAATACAATATAAATGGTCTATAGTGAAGACTCACTATCCTGATGAGCCAGAAGAGAGTGGATGCCGCAGTTGAGTACAGAGATGCGTAATGATGGGGCGGAGTTCCATCATCTTCCCACGTCTCATAATGTTCGGCATAGAACACGGCTCGCTTTGGATTCAGGGCTCCGATTGGCTATATTGTCAAACAGGAAGTAGAAAAAGGGATTCTGGATATTAAACTAAACAAATGACTAAAATATATATATATATATTTTTTTTTTTTTTAAAGTTACAGCTCACTTTGGATTCAGGGCTCTGAAAGCGGAGTATTATATTTAAATTAGTATATTTATATCATATAAAGTTACAATTCAAAAGTTTGGGGTCAGAAATCAGTACTTTTATTCAGCAAGCACACATTAAATTGATCAAGAGTAACAATAAAGTCATTTATAATTAAAAAAATATTTCAAATACAAGCTGTTATTTTGAATGACTCATTTATTTTCTATTCCTCAAAAGAATCCCAAAAGAAATGATCACAGTTTCCACAAAACTGGGGGAAAAAAAGCTGAAAATGTAGCTTTGCCATCGCAAGAATAAAATTACAAAAAAGTTACTTTAAATATTAATAATATTTCACTATATTACGGTTTTTAAAAGCAAATACAGTAAGAAGTTGAATTAAATTACAAAACCAAACTGGGGTCCAAAAAAAACAAGATGACATTAAAAATCAGAAATTCAAAATCCGGTATTTTGAAAAATTCTGGACGATTTGTGTAGCTCTAAATGGGTAATGGTAAACACTTTCAGGACTGGCATACCTTTGAGAGATCCCGGAAATTCCCAGGCAAGGTAAGATCCAGGTCCTCTGATTCATAGTTAGTCAGGACCCAAGGGAAGACAGGATACTGGTTCAGATCATTATAGGTCCTCCCTGCAAACAAACATCAACAGACAATGTTGTGTGTGAGCATGTAACATTCCAATTTGATTCATTATTTCGCTTGTAGTGATAAAACTATTAGTTGCAATCATAGGAATCATCTTACCTGCAATCGTGTTGAGGAACATGAGGTACTCAAAATTTGAAATCTCCCTCCGCTGCCATCTCTGAGTCATATTAGACGACTTAAAGAGCTGCCTTGGTGTTGCCAGAGAGATCCGTCTATGGGAGGAACAGCACAATAACAAGCAATCATTTAGCTTTGGCAAATAACACATTTACTGTTAACTACCAATGACATGTTTAGTCACATAAGAACCGCTCCTAAACTGATCTCACGTCACAGAATCAGTTTCAATATTAAAAAACCTACACCTTACCTTGCCTGAGGGAGGCCATAGCTGGTGCCAACGCCGACCCGAGGTAAACTGTACACTACCTTCTTTACTGTGCCCTGATCCGGGAAATTGAACATGACAGATGCTGTAGAGATAATGAAATAGTGCCATTAAAAACCTTGAACTAAACATCAGTTTGACATTGTTGTTAAACATGTTGGCATCTTACTCCTGTTGGCCATGAAGACCTCTAATCCAGTGTTTTGGAGCAGGTAGCGTCTGGAAAAAACTGCTCTGATCTCACTGAACATCCATTTCCCATGCAGACCCTCAGTATATGCCAACACCTGACAAACACAAAAGCAAAGCATTTAAATACAATAAGAGGAACAGTGGTTAGCAAAGAAGACAGCATGATGAAGTCAGCAATACCAATGCATGATCCTGAAATTCTGACTGGATGATATTCACGTTAACTCATTAAAAATCTACAGTAATTCTGTGTGAAATAAAAGATGTAAAAAAGGCTATACTGTAACTCATTTTCAGTGACACATACAGTACCTTTGAATCAATCTTTTTGAATGTTGGATCATCCTCATCCACCTCGAAATAGATCTCTGTTGTGGTGATCGACAACGTGCCTCTAGCAATGATCACAGGAGCAACGAGCTGGGCGGGTGTGCTCAAAACCACTGGACCTGAAAGAAACCATGCCACAGAATGAGAAACTTAACATTTTAAAGTCCTGAGTCCTGGATTAGTCAAGTGATTATGGTTAGATTTTCCAATAACTTGGGATTTCAAAGCCAGTTTTGGAAAATGAAATAATCTTTTTGAAAAATGTAACATTTAATACTTTCAAAATCACCATCGTCTGGTCTTAAAAAGCATCTTTTACCATTACCAATCCCTAAAAATTATAATTTTAGTGGTGCCATCAGCTGATTGCTGTTATCAGAATGTTATTTACTAAGGCTCAGTGATTTATCACATAGTATTTATAGCTCATGTTTTTGAAAACTGACATCAGATTTCAAACCACAAAGAGATGACTAAGAAAGTATTTTGGAAAAAAAATAAAATCTGAGGAAAAAACAAGCTAATTAGCTTAATTAAATAATGATTAAATAGCCACGGTATGTTAAATACAGTCAGTGACTCATTAGGCTAATGAGTAAGTGGCTACTTTGATAAGAGTTAATTAGTTAATTTAGAGATTCAGACATTCAGTGTCAAAATCAGATGTAGCTCATAATCACACTCTTGTGCGGATTCAGCGGAGATTTGCATCAAAAGGCAGAAGGGCTGGATCTTGTTCTGGGCTAAAACACTAATTAACATACTCGTTTACTGAAGTACCAAACCTGCCTCTTGAAATAAATACCCTCGGACGAAAAGCCACTGGGAATAAAGTACAGTTGCATACATTAGCACATGCATCAACAATACATCAAAGAATCACCACACTAATGGTTCCTGCAGAAGCAGTTGGCATTTAAAGCTAATTTGTTTAATAGTGCCATGGCACCCTTACAATGGGATTTGAGGAGGCTGCTTGTAAATAATAGCCTCCTGAGTGCAGCAGAAACGCTGAATACCTGCAAGGTTGTCAATCTCTTTCTCCTGCAGCAGACTGACGGCGTCATCATCTCCTTCCAGCATCAGCTCCGTCTCAGGGTTCTGACTGACCACCGAATGACTACGGAACGACGACTTTGACTTTATGCCCTCTTCTTCCTCAGGGCCTGCCCATACAAAAAAAGTAATTATATATATATATATATATTTACAATCATTACTCTAAACAGTCCATGCAAAAAATAAATAAATAAAATAAAAATTACAATAAAATAAATAAATAAATATAATACAAATACATTTTCAAAAAATATTTCAATTTTATGTTAAAATATATATTTTTTTTTAATTTCCCTTACAAAAATAATGTTCTGTATTTGGATATGTATAATGTATGGACACACATCACTTTAATATTATGTCTCTGAGACATATTTGGGTACTGTAAATTAGACTGAGGTGTATGGATGTGTTGTGGCTGACCGTATTCCTCTAGAGATTTGAGAGCCACGTCCAAGTGGGTGGAGCCAAAGGCATTGCGTACAAATCTCCGCCTCCTGCGCAAATCATCCTCCCAGTAGTCCAAACGCCAGAAATCATGAAGCTGACTGAGGTGGGAAATAAATAGAGAGCAAAGAGATGATGAATGGCCAGAAAACAAGAAACAGAATTCCAGCAGCAAAGGTTAACAATAAACTGTGAGTTTGTGAACCTCTGTGACATGGTTCCCCATGCTCCATGCTTATTGGTTAAAATGTTGAGGATCTTCTGTTTCAGCTGGTTTGCGGTCACGTGATCTCTGTGCTTGGCGGCACTGATGAGATGATCACACATCTTTTCCTCTTCTCTTCTGTCTGCAGCGTACTGGGCACAGTTGGACTATGAAAAGAAAGAGCAAAGGAAAGGATCTTCACATACCTTGCGCATGATAAGTATTTAAACTGTGAACCCATGACACAGTGATCCACACTGACTGACTGACCTCAAACTCAGCATGTTTGTGCACATCTTCTGCTCTCTGCCTGTTGAGGATGAACTCAGCCTCATTGGCGACACGGACAATGTGGTCCTTCATGGCGTGACACAGAAGCCTATGACATGAACAGTTTGCATTATAACATTGTCAACTGTTATTACTTACAAATTATGACTTTTATTTTTGCATAATGAGAATTTCCTTTCTATCTATTGCACCAGATCTCACAAAAACATACAGAAGGAGTGTACATCATTTTTGGTATGAAATATGACTTTAAAAATCATAACAAACAATGCCAGTCGAGAAGGAATTTTAATGAGTATACAACATACCTCCCCTCATTAATAAGTTCGATGAATGCAAGTCCTGCGTTCTTTTGTATGGAGTTCTGCCACTCCTGAAACCACACATAACAACCATTATGGACCTTACTGAATGTCATAACTGAAACATTTTAGTGTGCCAAAGGCAAATGCATCAATGAAATGATGTTCTTGCAAGGTGTAAAATGCAAAAATGTTACTGGTTTCTGCATATTTTTTATAGGGCTGTCAAACGAATAATCACATCCAAAATAAAAGTTTGTTTAAATAATGTATGTGTGTACTGTGCATATTTATTATGTATATATAAATACACACACACACACACATATATATATATATACAGTGGGGAAAAAAAGTATTTAGTCAGCCACCAATTGTGCAAGTTCTCCCACTTAAAAAGATGAGAGAGGCCTGTAATTTTCATCATATGTATACATCAACTATGAGAGACCAAATGAGAACTTAATTCTTTAAAAATCCTACAATGTGATTTTCTGGATTTTTTCTCTCATTTTGTCTCTCATAGTTGAGGTATACCTATGATGAAAATTACAGGCCTCTCTCATTTTTTTAAGTGGGAGAACTTGCACAATTGGTGGCTGACTAAATACTTTTTTGCCCAACTGTATATAAATATACAATTTTTTAAAAATATATTCATGCATCTGTGTGTATTTATATATACATAATGAATATACACCGTACACACACATACAAACACAAACTTTTATTTTGGATGCGATTAATCAGTTGACGGCCCTATAATAAAAACAATGTTTGTGTCCTTTTTCAGTGTGGATGATTTAGGCGCCTGATGTGGTTGCTAAAGAGATGCACTGATGATCTTTCCTGATTGGCTCTTTGCCACATAAGCGAGAGTGACTATTGAGAAAGAGAGGCAGAATGCACTTAGCATCCACTGCAGATGCTTCTAGAAGGACACATCACAGGCAGCTCCCATTACCTTCTGCTTCCTGCCAATCAATATTTAGGGTACGGTTTCATCCCCTGAGCCACTAATGGAGGGCCTGGAGCTTCAGTAATACTATATGTGCTGATGGAGCGATGACGGGAAATAGAAGAGGGAGGGGAAAGGAAGATGAGAGGACATCAAACACTGAATGGGCCACTGCTACACCCCAAAGTTCCTAATCCTGACTCCAACTCTGAAGGCAGAGAAAGCCTGCTGAGATGCGGTAGTCTGAAATCTTGATCATTCAGAAGAGTTCAAAGAGGTTCAGTGGGGCTCCTAGTATAAGATACTGACATCCAGATGTAATTGTATGATAATTCTGTTTTGAAATGTTTGATTAGTGGTAAGAAACGTACATTTCTCCTCATGTGGATTGAAAGCAAAGCATTTTATGGAGCACAGTGATGGATTTTCAATGGAGTGCCTTAAAGGTAAGTGAAAATTCTTTATCTCTAAACACTAAATGCCTTCGGACACTGTTGATTAATCAATTCTATATAAAGACTGTGAAAAACAACAGGAATACTTTCAGAATGTGAATACGTGTAAGATTAGTGGCATTATTTGCTGTAAAGTTGCTTTGCAACGATTTGTATCGTGAAAAGCGCTATACAAATAAACTTGAATTGAATTGAATTATTGGAAGCACATTACTGTAGCTCTCAAACAGTTAAGCATAGTGCTAGCAAAGGTCTTGGGTTTGATTCCCTCAGAATGCATGAACTAATAAAATGTGAATGTATTTTGCTGTGGAAGTTCAGAAGTATGCAGTGATACTTTTACCCACACTGGCTTCAGCGTAATGTAGGGTGGGTCTGAAATCAGATCCTGTTTAGGTCAAGCACAAAGCTTCAAAAGAGGCTCAAAAGATTGATGAAATGTTGCCACACTGCAGCGCTGTGACCTTTTCCAAGATTTTAAGCTGTTTAAGTGCAGTTTATTCACTGTTTATGGAGCCTGAAATATGAATGTAACTTGTGCGGTGATGGAAAATAGTGAAGTCAAAGTGAATTATTCAAAATAAATTATTAGAGAATAAAGAGAGAAATCTCACCTGCGAGCACAAGAGCATCACAAGCTCCACAACCGATGTGCTGGACTTCATACAAACTAAGCCTGTGGCAGTGCATTGACAGAAAACAGATTTTAGCATGCGCATGTCTAAAAGATGAATATAAACCTCAGCAGGTTTCAAAAGACTGACAACACAGTGTAGACTTTTGGACCCCACTGTACATGTGTGTAACATAAAATTACCTAACGTAATTGGCTCAAAACTTTAAAGTGATACATCTATTTTCTAATGTACACACAGTTCTGCTGTATTTTAAACAACAAAAACAGACAAACATTAAACTGTGAGGAGGTCAAGACAAGGTGAGAGCACAGACATTAAAGCCTGACAGGACAACAGGGAGGGGAGGGAGAGGACTTAATAAGGGGGGTGAAGAAGAGAGGAAGGAAATATAAGGAGACAAAAGACAGTGGTGGAACAAGAAGCAAAAGTGATTCACTCTAGATCTGGATCTTCAGATTTAGGTTTCCTTTGATTTCTGATGAAATGAAGAGAGGATGTCCTCTCAGGACTCAACAATAAAGATGGTCTGATAGGAGGGGCCCAGTGTGAGCAAGTTTTGGGCCAGCTAAAGGAACTGTCACTTTCCATACCAGCTATTACTGCAAATTTATTTGTTTCATACAGTTTGTTTTCTTCTTTCTGGTAAAGTAAATGTTTCATAAAATATATTTTGTCTGACACAAAAATGTATACTCAATTTAAATACAAAACTAAAAAATTATTTTAATGCAAATAAATTTAATTTAACTAGAAATAATTACAAAATGTCTTGCATAATCTGTATAGCAACTGTATACTTTTAAATATATTACTATTATTTATTTATTCAATTTTCATTATTTTATTCATATTTTAATTAAAAATGAATTTGTGTTGTGAGGCCAATGAAATTATTAGCTTTGCATATATATATGACTAGGCTTAAAGGGGGGAAAAATCCTTTGGCATCTCTTAAATCACTTCTTCAAAGTTTAGCCTGCAATTCTTCCCTCAGTCCCTTTATCTACATTTTTTTGAACATCCTTTCATCCTAAGCAGTTCTGTTTTTCTCATACCTGCTCTGGGTCCATGCACTCGCACAATTGTGTGTGTATGAGGCAGCCAGTGGACACACACACAGCAGACAGTGAGGGACTCCACAGAGACACCAGGTAGAGAGGAAAAGGAGCACTATACAGCACCTGTACCTTCTATGAGCAACTCCTGCCCATGACTGCCCAACAGAGTCCGCGAAAGGAAGGGGGCGAAATCCACAAAGATCTCTCTCAGCAAGGGGGCCACTTTCTCTAAGGCGCGCTCCAATTTAGTCGTGATACTACGGGTTGAAAATGAAAGACAGAGATAGAGAGAAATACTCCAGTTAGCTCCAAAATACAGAGACCAGTTTAAAAATCACACTTCCTTTTAATTCCAGCTGGTTAGTATGTGACAAAGTCTATGGCGTTACTGCTGGGTTAAAGCCAACCTTCAGGAATTCAACCACAGGGAGGCAGAAAGAGCAAATGCTTAACGCTTAAATCACCTTGTTATACTGCACACATCACCTTTAAGTGCCACTGCGCTTAGCTACAAGCTGAGTTAACCTGCGCTAAGACTATAACTTCAGCGCCAGGGATGCAAATGACGACAGACTAGGGTGAGTGTGAAAGCTAAAGGTCTGAGGACATCCAGTGTGGTGCAAACAAGGAATGACTTGATATGATTAATGACAATGTCTCTACTGAAACGGCAAGCTAGCAGGGTTGATTCTGTCAAGTTATTGGAAAACATTACTGCTGATTAGGAATGTATATGCTTTTTATGAACTATCAATGCGTTTGTTTTTTGCATTTTGCAGCATTTCAGTTACAAACACTAGCTCAAGTCACTGAGACTAAATCTTAACCAGGTGTGATGCAAAGACTGGAAATTACAGCCAATCAGAGCATATTTGATGTCTATGCTGCATTCACATCATGTTTGCGTATTAAGTTGGCGGCTAGTAAAAACCGTTCACTTTGTTGAAATTGTCATGTCATGTAAAAACAATCAAAATGGCAGCAGCTTCATCGGTTAAGGGCAGTTAAGTAGCAACCTGCTTGATATTCCATTTTATTAGAGCCATTCTTATGTGGCGTTCTTTATTTGGTCAGTTTATATAAGTGTATGTCTGTAAACACCAAATCCACGCATGGATTTATTTGTGTTAAACACTGCACCAAAGAAACAAATTACTTAGTCTGTCCCTGTGAAAAGCTCAAAAGTAAAATCTCAATTTTCAATAAATATGATGTGAAGGCAGCATAAAAATACAGATAAGATTTCACAGTGGGTAGGGCTACCCAGAATAATGCAATGGAAATAAAAACCACTAAAACTATTTAAAAAAATTATTTTGGTAACTAAAATAAAGCTAAAATCACTAAAACTAAAATAAAAATAAGGTGAAATAGAAATATACATAAAAAAACAACAACTAATAAACATGAAAAAAGACAAACAAACTACAATTAAAATACAAATTAAAATAAATACAAACATGTAATTAAAAATATATATTAAAAAATGCTAAAATAACGCTGGCACACTTGTTTAAAAAAATGAATTGAACAAATTAAAATCAAAGAGACAAAGAGATTATTCTTGAATATTTATGGCGTCATACCTGGTTTGGACAATGTAAATAATGAGAAAAAGAGACAGAATCAAATCTAGCAGAACCGTTATAAATCAAAGCAGCAGCGGTGGTGTAGCTGGCCAGCTTGAAAACTCACAACCACCACGAAAAAGAGGCAGAAAAAGAGAGAAAACAAAAAGACAGAGAGAAAAAAGGGAAGGGAATGTTAAGCTGGTAGCACTGGGTAAGGGGGGCCAGTTCAAGCTTCCTTGCCTAAGAAACTGTCCTGCATCTCTGGGGGCTGTTTGGAATCCTGTCAGCGAACTAAAGGATTTGAGTTCAGGAGGTGTCAGCCTGGTTCGCAGTGGACACTGGTCCACTTCACAAAAGGCACTGCAATACAAATGGGCACAAACAGACAGTAATGACTGTACAGGCATTCACTGCAGCTCTTAGTCTAAAGTGTGACGTAATCCCCGTGTGTTGATCTGTGCCAAATCAAAGGATGATTGAGCCTCAAATCTTCCGTGTCGTACATGCAAAGAGACAAAAATGAAGAAAATCAATTCTGTTGCATTCAAATTAGAACAGATGTACCCAACCATGTTTGGCAGGAAATACACTTCAGACTATCAGTACCTCAAAGTGCATCTTTAAAAATGCACAGAGACCTCAGTATGTGTCTGTGAGGGAATCTGTGGCTGTGGTTACAAAGATACACAGATAGGGAAGTGTAGAGAGGAGACAGATGTAAAGTGAAGAAACTAATGGATTATGGGAATCATAGGAAGAAGTAAGACTGCCAAAACAAAACAAAACAGGATGAGCACAGGAAGTGAGAATGCATGATTTAAGGTTTTAAGCATGTGGATAACTGGATAAAGTGAGGAAGAGCATGAGTGTGTGTGTGTGTACCTCATGTTTTCCACTGTGTCTTCAGGCATGGGTGCAACGGTTTGCACCGCTGGGAGGTTTTTACTTGTGGCACCGTTCACGAAACTTGATGAAGAGGAGGATGAGGAAGAGGCGGAGTCAGTGGCACCTGTGAGACATAATGGACGAGATGGATTAAGCACAAGAAAAGCTGACTATCCTAAAGAAAAAAAGGTTTGTTTATAGAGCTACAAAGAATGCTTAAATATCTAAAATGGTCACTACATTTAGAAAAGTGTCTAAACTTATGAAAGCCCATGACAAGACTAAATGGAAAAAATTATTAAAGTGATATGCAGGAATCAAATGCATATATAGACCAGCAAAATGTATATGCTCATGGGACTGTGAGATGATGGAAATATTCAGGATGACTCGCCTGTTGTGTTGATCATGCTTTTAGGTGTTGCTGTGGCAGCAGCAAAGATATTGGGCGTACTTCCTGACGAGGGTACTCCACTGGTGGTGGGTGTTCCTACTGTGTTCACAGCCAGGCTTCCTGGAGGGGGCTTCTTAACAGGCACCACCACGCTCCTGAGAGTGTGTACACACACACACACACACACACACACACACGTATTGATTACACTCAAGAATTAATCACAAGACTTCACATCAAAATAATTTTATATAACCTAAATCAAACACTTATATATACACTACCATTAAAATATGGTGGCCTACTGTCCTACTGTGTTCACAGCCAGGCTTCCTGGAGGGGGCTTCTTAACAGGCACCACCACGCTCCTGAGAGTGTGTACACACACACACACACACACACACACGTATTGATTACACTCAAGAATTAATCACAAGACTTCACATCAAAATAATTTTATATAACCTAAATCAAACACTTATATATACACTACCATTAAAATATTTTTTTAAATCTCTTTTTTATCCAAAGTGAGTTGCAGTAGATAAGCATAAGCAATTCTTCAAAGTGCCAACAAAATTCAAAGTATACAATGCATATTATTAAATATATATAAAAAATAATAATAATATTTAAATATATAATATTATTAATATTAACAATAAATTAAAAGTAAATACACTACTGTTCAAAAGTATGGTGTCACGAAAACATTGTAAATGTTTTTGAAAGAAGTGTTTTATGCTCAACAAGGCTGCATTTATTTGATAATAAATACAGTAAAAACAGAATTATTGTGAAATATTAATACAATTTAAAATAAAAATTTCTGTTAGAGTATATTTTAAAATATCATTTATTGCTGTGATTTCAAAGCTGAATTTCAGTATAATCTCTCCATTCTTCAGTGTGACATGATCCTTCAGAAATCATTCTAATATACTGATTTGGTGCAAAATAAATCTCTTATTAATTTTATTAATTTATCTTATAAATTTTAAATATTTGTGCTGCCTAATATTTTTTTGGATACTATGAAACATTTTGTTTTCAGGATTCTTTAATGAATAAAAATGAGTAAAAACCTTCGGTAACATTTAAATAAAAAAATAGGAGTCCAACCATTTCAGCCCACCCCATGGTGAAAAAGGAGAGTATGATAAAATATTAACCTGCCCTGATGAATTATTAACATTCAAGAAGCCTGTCAATGATTAACAGCATAACCTTATGTATAATTTATTCATCAGGTTTTCTTAATTGGGAAGAACAAAGAGGATTAATGCTCAGAGGGGCTTTAGTTTGTATTGTAGAGTATCAGTGGATCCCACACACTAAGCCAGTCAGTCTCTTGAGCCCTGAGCACACTATTGCACAGAGCCACTGGCATTTCTGCAGACGCCTGTGCAGTAATGAGGAGCTAGACACAGAGAAATGGACTGCATAAAAAATGAGGGGAAGGCCTTGTGCTTGCGTATGTGTAATTAAGGTGTTCTTTACTTCATTTGTTCTCAAAAAGTCTTGACAGACCACATGTAAGTGTAACTGCATTGATTCATGAATGATTTATTGGTTCAATCGCTCGGTTCCAAAATCCATTTTAAGATAACAAAAGTGCACGCCTGAAGCAAAAGCTGTTCCAAAAGGCAGGCAGCATAAAATATTTCATTTGGCTGAACTTAACTTTATATAATTAATAAAAATATATATGTATGATTAAACTATATTACATTATATTAGATAAAAAAAATTTTTTTTAAATGAAATCGAAATTACTTTGACATCGATTGTTTTTTAGAGAAGCATATCGTTTATTAACCTCAGTGTATTGTGAGTCTCTACTAAAAGGTTTATATTATTAAATGTTAACCTAAGTGAAATGTCTATATTTTAAAAATGAAATATTAAAATGTAATATTATAAATAGTGCTGTCAAACGATTAATAGCGATTAATCACATCTAAAACAAAAGTTTTTGTTTACATAATATGTGTGTGTACTGTGTATATATATTATGTATATATATATAAATACACACACATGCATGTATATATTTAAGAAAAATATGTTATGTTTATACATTTAAAATATTTATATGTAATATCAATTATATTAATATAAATATATACATGAAAATATTTTCTAACTATATACTGTATGTGTGTGTATTTATATATGAATAATAAATATACACACTATACACATTATGTAAACAAAAACTTTTATTTTGGATGCGATTGATCGTTTGACAGCACTAATTATAAATTGCTATATTATATATTTAAGCTTGATGTGTTCAGCTTTCTGGGTCTTGGGTTTAATACTTTTAATTATTTTACCAATTATTTTAATAATATTGCCTGTTAATAAAGGTTGGTCTGAAACATACATGAAAGACAAGCATAATATAACCTGTGTTATTTGATGTGCTAGACACGCTAGAGCTGCCCACCTGTCAAACGAGTGGAACTGCATGGGCAGCATGGCAGCAGCTTCCCTCTTCAGGGCAGGGTCAGGGTGGTACGGCTGAGGCTCAGGCCCTGCCTCCGCCCCCTCCACCGGTGCTGCCACTAAACTCTTCAGGATCTCCTTCACATTGATTCCCTTGTTGGCCTGGCTGATGCTGGAGATCGACGCAGCTGGTTTCAGAACCTCCATGCCAGGAGGCGACTCCAACAGGGACTCACGGGACTTCCTCACCTCCGACGACAGTGTGCACAGCAACTCGCTCATGGCATCCGGGCCTCCAGAGCTCCCACCCAATCCGCTGGAGTCTGCGCCCAGCTCGGAGCCATTGAAAGCACTGGTGACCTGCTCCTCCCCGATGCCGGAGTCAGTGTGAGGCAGTGATCCCTCCAGGGGAAGATTGTCCAGAGGGGTGGCGGCTTGGCGGTCTCCATGTACACCATCTGAGAAGGAGGATGGGTTTTCTGAAATTTGCACACATAAATTAGTGGTCAAACGTTTTGAATAATTAAGTTTTTTTGAAATACGTCTATTGTTTTCACCAAGCCTGCATTTATTTGACAAAAAATACAGTAAAACAGGTAATATTCTAAAATATAATTATAATTTAAAATATCTGTTTTCTGATTTGATATATTTGAAAATGTAATTTATTCATGCAATGGCAAAATTGATTTTTCAGCATCATTACTCCAGTCTTCAGTGTCACATGATTCTTGAGAAACTATTCTAATGTGACCAGCCACAAAACCAGTCATAAGGGTCAATTTTTTGAAACTGAGATTTATATATCTTCTGAAAGCTGAATAAACAACTTTCCCATTGAAATACATATTTATATTTTGTATATGTATATTTTCCTACAAATATACCCGTGCTTCTTCAGACTACTTAAGGTTTTGTGCTCCAGGGTCACATATGCTGATTTGTTGCTCAGTTATTTTCAATTATTGCTGATGCTCGATTATTAATAATAGATTTTTTTTATTACTATCAAAGATTTTGCTGCTTAATATTTTTTGTAGAAACCATGGTACATTTTTTTCAGGATTCTTTGATGAACAGACAGTTCAAAAGAACAGGATTTTTAAAAATAGAAATATTTTGTAAAATTATAAATGTATTTACTGCCCTTGATGAATAAAAGTATAATTTTTTTCTTTTAATCTCTTAAAGGGTAGTATATTGAGGTTTCCACAAAATATTAAGCAGCAAAAACAATTTTTCACATTTATATTAATAAGAAATGTTTCTTGAGCATCAAATCAGCATATCAGAATGATTCCTGAAGGATCAAGTGACACTGAAATCTGGAGTAATGGCTGCTAAAAAATTTGAGCTTTGTCATCACAGGAATAAACTACATTTTAAAATATATCAAAACATAAAAAAACTGTTATTTTAAATTGTAATAATTTTCCATAATATTACGATTTTAACTTTATTATTTAACAAATAGATGCGATCTTGGTGAACATAAGAGTCAGAGATAAGAGCAGAAATTCAGTCATTACAGAAGCATTTCAGAGCTGCTTCTGTAAGAGATACAGTTTGTGCAGTTTACTGCAGCCTATGCCAAGCAGTTCTTTCCACCTGAGTATTAATTAAATATTGCACTCAGATAAAGCTTTGCAATAATGCCTTGCACACTTAAGTTGATGAAATCCTCCCTGCGGGGAATAACTGGATGACTACATAGCAGTTAAGAAATGTGTGAGTGGAAGGTGTGACTTCATTTAGCATTTTTGGGGTGTTTAAGTGGTAAATGACTAAAGATACACATCTATTGAGTATAATCAAGGTCACATGCTCATAATGACACTGCAGATGCCAAGTTCACCTGTGCTGGTGGGTGAATTAATCTCTTGTCGGATGCTTCTCCCTGATAGGCTGCTGGACCTGCCGATCTCCCGTTGTGGCTCCAGGATGTCCCGGTATTTGGACACCATAAGGACAGAGATGAAGTAGACCACAGCCAGAGCCAGGAACTGAGCCTGTTTACTGTCATCCTGTTGAACACAGAGTATGGTTAACAATCATTCTGGTCATGTAAACATACATGCTTTGCTCCGGCGCAGGTAAGTGAGTGTCTCACCACGTCTCTAAAAACGACAGCTCGGAGACGATTGATGTCCACGTCCTGCAGCAGTCTGTCTGGGTCTTTGATAGGAGAAAGGTTACGCGGGATGTTCTGTATGACGGTCTGCGGTAGAGAGGATGAGAGAATCATACATTAAACCACAGGACACACACACACACACATGGACATACACTGGTTTAATTATGCAAATAATTGCATAATAGAAGTTTTTATAGTAAAAATGTATTGTCTTTTGTTCTGTTTCTGTGTTTCTAATGTCCATTTGATTTGTTTTCAGAGACTCTTTAGTGTGTTTGTGTGCATACGTGTCTGTTCTCCTGTGTTTGTGCAGGTGTGTGAGTGTATAACCTTGCTGGCGGATGCTGCAGTCTGTAGGTTCTCCTGGGTCTTGCTGATTGGCAGCGAGCTTTTGCTGCCTCGGTCTCTCTGCCTCTGCCTGCATTCCAGACAGTTCCTCACTGCTACACAACATACTGAGAAGAGGCAAACAGTTTTACTAGAACGTCTGGCTTGATATTCACATCACACCACACAGACACACAGCTACACTACCATTCAAAAGTGGGTTGGTAAGATTTTTTAAAAAAATTTTATAAAAGAGGCCGCTTATGCTCATCAAAGCTGCATTTATTTGATAAAAAATACAATAAAAACGGTAATATTGTAAAAAAAAAAAATAATAAAAAAAATAATAAAAGTAATTAAAAAAAACTATTTTCTAATTTTAATATATTTTTAAATGTTTGCCAGTGATGGCATAGCTGAATTTTCAGAAATCATTCTAATATGAAACTAAGATTTTTGTGGAAACATGTTTTTACGATTCTCTGATGAACAGAAAGAATAAAAAATGATTTGAAATATTTTTTGTAACAATGTAAAAGTCTTCATGTTACTTTTGATTTGTTTAATGCCTCCTTCCTGAATAAAAATATAAATTTCTTTTTAAAAGTCATTTTGAATGGTAGTGTACATACATAGTTGCGCATTAACCCCTCAAACCCCTTTTAAAGGTGAAATGTGTATTTTATCAATGTCTAAATATTTCTTCTATCCCATATTAATAATGGGGAGAGAAGTGAGTCATTCGAGGAGTGTAAACACTGGGGGTCTTGTTTGTTTAATTGGCCTCATATATTAACTTTTTAACCAGTGGTTTTGTTGCCACATAAGTTAAATACAGTACTTCACCAATGTACAAAAACTTTATATGTTTAGTCAAAGAACATACACTATACCAAAAATTACATATTTGAAATATTTAGATGGGTAAGATACATCACACATACCTAATCGTAGACACTGGCGCATTAGTCCCCCTGACGACATGTTCTTTTCAGCCTCAATCTCGCTGAAATTGAGAGAACTGGCAAACACGAGCACATCCACCATGGCCATCAGCCGGCTCAGAAACGTGACAGCCGTTTCTGACGACATGCCCTGGGTCGCCTCCACATTCTCAAGCTCCATCTGGGAGGACACACATACACATAACCAAAATCCAGAAGTTTAGACACATATCCTAATACATTTTGAAGCAAAAACACACACACACACACACACACACACACACACACACACAGAGTAATGCTCACATCTATACAGGATTATGCTACTGACAATGTGCAAACAAACAAACAAACAAATGTGTCAAATCAATAATGCCAGGCCAACTTCACATGAAACATGCCTCTCTTGGAAAACCTCACACCACTAGAAGGAAGTGTGTTCAAACCAGTGTGACACCTATTTGTGTGTGAACAGTCAGTGCTGCAGTGCCGTGTGCGCTTAATCTTTGCGGTGGACAGGAAACATGTCACCATTTTGCAACATCAATATCAAAAGTTCAACATAATTACATGGTGTGTTACAAAGAACAAACCTTTTTGCAAAGCAAAAGAAAACACTAAGGAGTCTTTCAAGTAGTGGCAAATATGCTTTTAAAATCTTTTGAAAAATATGGGGTGATGGCGATATGAACCGCTATCTTAAAACCAACAGCTCTGAAAATGTGCTGAAAATAACATAATTGATGTTGAAAACTGGGAACATGCTTGTTGCTAGGAAGCAAAAACACACACACACACACACACACACACACACACACACACACACACACACACACACACACACACACACACACAGAGTAATGCTCACATCTATACAGGATTATGCTACTGACAATGTGCTAACAAACAAACAAATGTTTTCAAATCAATAATGCCAGGCCAACTTCACATGAAACATGCCTCTCTTGGAAAACCTCACACCACTAGAAGGAAGTGTGTTCAAACCAGTGTGACACCTATTTGTGTGTGAACAGTCAGTGCTGCAGTGCCATGTGCGCTTAATCTTTGCGGTGGTCAGGAAACATGTCACCATTTTGCAACATCAATATCAAAAATTCAACATAATTACATGGTGTGTTACAAAGAACAAACCTTTTTGCAAAGCAAAAGAAAACACTAAGGAGTCTTTCAAGTAGTGGCAAATATGCTTTTAAAATCTTTTGAAAAATATGGGGTGATGGCGATATGAACCGCTATCTTAAAACCAACAGCTCTGAAAATGTGCTGAAAATAACATAATTGATGTTGAAAACTGGGAACATGCTTGTTGCTAGGAGACATAATAGTGACATTAAGAGCTCACGCAGTGGTGCATTGTGGGTATGTATAGGGGCGATAGCTTGGACCCACCTTGGCCCCTGTGCCAGAGCTTCCTGGCAGGCTATTAACTTCATTGCTTTTTGTCCCTTTCTGTAAGCAAGAACCTCCTCGTGTCTTTATGACCAACACAGAGTGGAACAAATGAAGTTGACATTTAATAAAGACCCTTATAAATGGACCAATAGAGCCGGGGGGGCTCATCACAGCACCATGATATGTGCTAATTTATTTAATGCAATTTAATATCAGTATCTGTCTGTTTGAAGGCTTTCCATGAATAACAGATGATTATGATGAAGGTCTGATAAAAAACTTCATCAGATACGATCACTTAAACAGATCATATAACAGAATAATACTGGTAAATTTGCACTTTAATACATCCATAATCTCATATTTAAAGGTGCACACAGTTTGCTTTACTAATTAAAAGAGTTCTATACGTGAAGAAAAAATGTACTTCTGAAAATATATTTAAAATCATGTTCACTTACTTTTTACGTGGCTGCCTTGTGGGGGCTGCCATTTTAAAAATCATACGATCAGCCAGACACTACTCACTACTTACTGGACACTTTTACATAGATAATAAATTCATCATGACTGACCGCAGATATCACATTTTTATATGAACCTGAAAACTTTTGCATGATGCATTTATAATTCCTCTATACCAAATCCAAGACGGATGGAATATTGGTCAGCTTAACATGAACATGAGTTACTGAGTGCAACTTTGAGTGCAATTCATATATCATAAATCTTTGGGTGAATAAATTGAATGAATGTACACATAGTCTGAGGCTGAAAAAGACAGAAAAGATGGACCATACATTTTGATCTGTGGAATTAGTGATATTAAAATGTAACATAAAAAAATAAACAAGAAGGTGAATGTTAGAGAAGAATAAATAAATGGGAACTTACAGGGTTTGCACTAACCTTAGAACTCTGTACATGCAAACGAAATAAAAAAGACAAAAAAAGAGAGAAACAGGGAAGGGGAAGAAGGAATTAGAGGCAATACAGACAACAAAAGAATACAAAGGCACAAAAAAGCTGGCTAATAAGCAATAGAGTCAGTTCAGAGAAAATGTCAGAAAAAGCTGTAAGAATGTTTGCCAGAAATAAAAAGGTTAGATTGCAGGTAAAATGTCAAAGAACACAAGAGAAGAAAGCGGCAAAATTTGGGATTGCATTCATATTTAAGATCTCAGGGTAAAAGCACCGACAGAGGATGAAATTTGACATCAGCACTCATGGATGTTTCTATGTGTAGGCAAAAATACTGATCTGGACTTATTCTTGAAATCTGTATAAGATCAGACATGTATTGTCGCCATTCAGTGCCAATATAACATTCAGTGATATTCAGGGAATAGAAACAGGAACAACTTTTTTCTTCTATACGATTCTAAATAATCCCATTACAAAACAAAAAAAAGAAAAACCAGCCACTAGAAAGTGGTTTTATAATTCAAGGATGTTGTACTGATGTGAATATCCACTAGGGGCCGCTCAAGTGCCACTTACAGATGGGGAGGTGGCAGCAGAGAGCAGGGGAAGGATCCCGCCGCACGCTATAATGATGTTATCAACCATCTGAGAAATGAGGTGGATGGTGTTGTGGACAAATATAATGTTCTCGTTACTGTTTACAAAGTCCATGACCGATTTCGTAGAGTGGCTGAGAGAAAGAGAGAACAAAAGAAGACAGCAGTGAAGCAAGACCATGTAAAAGCATATAACATGTTTATCTTTTCAGAGTTTTACTGTCAAGTAACACAAAAGAAGTTACAGAGAACTAGAGTATAACATCCTTGTTGGTCCTAGAACAACCAATCTGATTTTACAGAGAGGGCAAGGAGTAGGGTTAGGGTTGGGGATCAAGGGGTCAGAAAAGTTGTTCCAGAACAACACAAGAAGTTCATCTGGGAAGATGTCTTAGCTGGTCATTTCTAAAGGCCAAAAACTCTCATACCTCCTCCACATGTGTACGTCACTTTCCAGAGCGAACAACAGGTCAGTGAGAAGGCGCTGATGCATGGGTGACCATTTGAATTCTGGGATACGGAACATGGTAGTGCGAGGGCCAGGGCTAAACTGCCGCCGCTGTTCTTCTGTCATCGGCATGCCCCGGAAGCCCAGATCCACACGGAGGTCCCTCTCCATCTGACCCGACATACGACCATGAAGAGCCTGCAGGAAAGCAAGAAGATTTGATTGCTTGCTAGTTCATTACAGCATTCATTTCTTTATTTAATTTTAGTGGTTCTAAACCAGACTGAGATTGAGTGGCAACCCATATAACAGTCTATCCTTGGTGGAACACAAAAGGAGATTCTTCAAATAAAGTTATTTCGTTACTACTTTGTTACCTTCTCGAAATATTGTCCTCAGCCAGAGATTTCAAATCTCATTTGTGTCAATATTTCAGTGATGTCCAATACTGCTCCTAGAGGACTACCTTTAGCTCCTGCCCCAGTTAAACACCTGAACCAGCTAATCAAGGTCTTCAGACTCACTGTTGGAGCTAAATTGGCGGTCCTTAAAAAGAGCAGGATTGGACATCCCTGATATTTTCAAATATACCACAGTAAGACATGTTAAGAAGGGTTTGAAAACAATGACGCCAAAGGACATATTCTCAGATGCCTCTTAACCAAATGCAATGCACCAATTTTGAAATGTAGAAAAGTGATTGCAATTGCACTGAATAGTTTTTTAAATTTCGGTTGGTTTCATTGCATTGTAAGGTTTCAAAAAACTGATGAGAAAAGTCATATGGACAACTTTACTCATTTTTGGAGCTTAATAACAGCATCTGCCCCCATTCTCTTTCATCTATGGAAAAGGGCAGCATAAAGATTCTTCCTAACATCTCTTTTTGTGTTCCACAGAAGAAAGTATGCCCTGTTTACACTAGTGTGTTTTTGTTTTAAAATGGCGTTTTAAAATGAAAACAATCTTTGTCTACACTGCCATTTTTACTGGGTTTCAGAAACGATCCCCATTCAAACTACACAACCGAAAACACGTCACATGACCATTCATGCACACTGGGCATGTGCGTAAAAGTGTAAACAGGAAGCTGGTTGCTAGTCACTGGCAGGTGAGCATGATGTTATTGTTTGCACGGTCATCAAGATATGCAGAGTGAATGTAGGCAGCCATGCCATTGTTTTCAAAAGTCTCCATTTTGGCTCGTTAACACTGAAACGCAACCCTGGAGTCTTCAAACTAAAACAAGGTCTGCATCGTTTTCAAAAGTCTCCGTTTTTGAGGGTCGAAAACACTGGAGCAGTGTAAATGATAGGCATAACCATAGCAAAAGTTATGCGTTTTAAAACGAAAACGCACTAGTGTAAACGTAGCCTAAGTCATACAGGTTTTAAACATTTCCAAGAGTTACCATCAGTGGGCAAACTCAACAAATAATAAATGAGTGATTCGCACCTGCGTGGTGGCTGTAGTCTGAATCTTCTTCATTTCTTTGTCTTTTCCATCGTCGGATCTCTCTGTGTCTGAAGTGGTGCTGGCTGTATCACCGCCACTCTTTCCTGCCCTGGCCTCCCCAACCTCTTGCTCCAAACATTCTGCTGTCCTGGCTGCAGCCTGGGCCTCGGCTTCTGCCAGTGTGCTGATGTCCGCCAAGGAGCTCTGCAACTTAAACCCATCATCTTCTGTTAGGCCACTTGGGGTTTGAATCAGATCTGAACCACAAGAAGTCATGTGGGCTAGCAGGCTGAGGTCGTCACTGGCACTTGAAGTGAGTGGAGTTTTTGGACAAGGAGGCTGTTCAGGGCTGGGCAGCACCAGGGGCTCCGTCGATGCCAATGAGGGAAGCAGCTTCTCATCCACCTTGGGAAACAGGAAGCCATTGTTGCTGGGAACGCTGTCCTTTTCATCTGCGAGTGTGATTAGAGGACCCATGTTCCCATCGTCTTCAGTTAAACCCACCACAACACTTTCCTCCTCTTTCGGGACAAGGCTCCCATTGAGCTTGTGAACTGCTGCACAGTAGGCGCTGTCCAACAGCGAGTCTACTTCCACCAAGGGACCATTCTCCATGCCACCTCCTCCTCCAAGAACCTCCGGGGACAGATCCAGATCGTCTAATTTAACCTCTGTAGCCTCCACCTTCTCAGCTTTGATGTCTACCAGCAAGTCATGAACTTCCACACGAACCCCCGCCACCGACCGTTCGGCTTCGCCCTCCGGACCTTTGGTCTCGGCCAGCAGGTTCCGAGAGTCTGCATTTTCTCCATAGTCTACCTCGCTCTCTGGTGTCTGCGTCTGAGATGTGTCATCGATCTCGCGGATCTCCAGGTTTCCGTTGACAGTGGTGGGTTGGGCGGAAAGGCCGGAAATTGTGCTGACGGAACCTTTCTTTCCTTTCTTGATGTTCTCTTCCTCTTGTCGTTGGTACTCCTCGTACATCTTTGCCAAGTACTCTTTGTGCGCCTCGTAGGTCACCTAAAGAGGTGAATTGCAGTGTTGAGAGTCTACCTTGGTGTTGGTCTACTTTCCATGCAGATTTTAATTTTATCATCTCCACCATTAGATGGATTCAATTGGATCATTGCAACACTTATCCAATTAGGGGGGGAAAAAAAGACTTAACAGTGTTTAACTAAATCAAATACTATTGCTGTTAGCATGACCAAAAGACAAGGCCAAAGAGTGGAGACGGTAAAAATAACAACCGTTTCATTCATCACTGACATAAGAAATGCATTAAAACCATTAAATGTGATATTACGAAACTAAATATATCAAGAAAAGCGCTAAGAGCTGCAGATCGGCTTGCTCTAACCTTGGAGTGGGCGATGGAGAGTGTGTCCACCCACACGCGCCAGCCTCCCCACTCATACTTGATGGCATGGTAAAGCAGGATACGGAATATGTTGTAGACCATTTCAGTGATCTTCTGCTCCTCTGGGTTCTTTGGGTTAATGTAGCCCAGAGAGAACATCCAGTCCTGCCACACTGAACACTGCAGCAGACACCTACACACATTACAATGACACCATGATGCCAATTTAGACAGAATGGACTAATTATTCACTCAAGCAGAAGGTTTACTGATGAAAAAGCTCTGGTGCTAAATTTGACACCACCTGTTTTTAACAGTGACTCTACGCTAGTTTTCAAAAGATACTGAAATGTGCATACTCATTTCCTCTATTTATGCATCCTTTGAGTCATCTAATGCTCATTTGAAGTTAACCTTCCAAAACCCTAGAACTTTAATAACACTGTTACATGTAATCTTTTGAACACTTAAAAATAAATATCCATGTCCATTTTTCATACTCAGCATTAATGTTTTATTTTGTATTTCTATTTTTCAATAGTGTGTGAAATGCTCTGAAAGATCTTTCAAACAGTAGTAAGCTATATTATTGTCGCATGACCTAATGTTTAATTCGTTCCAGTAATGGAAACCTAGAAAACTTTACACACATAATCAGAACTAAATCAAATCTAAACTTAGAGAATCACTCTGTAAACAAAGGCTGAACGTATCAGAACCACATAAAACAAACAGCCTACGCAAAGTACTAAAGAGGGAGTGCTTTATGATTGCTGGAACTTGCTGGAAATACTCCTTCACTCTTGTCATCTTAGATTCCAGACACGTTTGCTCACTTCAGAATGCTGGGCTTGTTATGGAATACAGAAACAAGCAGTCCCACTTCACCACTGCTAAAATATGCATTGTGATTTTGGTATGCAGTTGTAACCATGGCAGCAGCTTACGGAGTGGGACTGGGTGCATGGTGCGCCGTGGGCTTGTTTAGTATAGAAGTGTGCAGATACACACACACTTGATGTACCTAAATCTTACTAATGAGCAAATAAGGGTAACCTGAGTCCAGGTGACTGTCAGGCTTAGCCTCCGCAGGAGCCCATGAAACGGAACGATGCAGAGAGAATGCCACATCAAATCTTCATTCCTCAATGTATTAATTATGACGCTAATTGATTTAATAGGAGGGAGCGTCTTTCCCACTGAGAGGGAGACGCTAAATGCTTCTGATGTTTGCATACAGCTTGCGTGCATAAAATTATTGTAGTGTCTGCATATGTCTGTGGGCATGTTTGTATGTAAGAGAGGATTTGTCAAATTGTAAAACTATTTTTTGTTTATCTATAAATATTAGGGTTTGTTTGTATGTGTGTCAGGTGTTTTCTCAGAGAAGGTTAGAGAGGAAATGCCTTTTTACTCAACAGTAAAAAGCTATGAATTTCTTATGAATTTGCCTATTGATATTCTAAGCTAAATTGTTTTGTATTGGCCATGACATGAAAAAAGTGTGTACGTATATTAAATGGAAAAATAATTTACTTTAGAAAAACCCAAACACAGATTTAGTATTCACCACTAGTGTGTGTACAAACAGCTTACCGTCTGTTCTCTCTGCTGTTGCTGAAGAGTTTGATCATGTCGGACAGGAAGAGGCGTCGTACTTCCATCAGCTCAGCGCTGGGGGAGGAACTTTTAAGCAGTGTAGCCACAACCTTCAGAATCACTGAGAAAATCAAAATGAAAAAGGAGAGAGAGAAGTGGAAAAAGGAAGGAGAGCTTAGACATTGATCCGGTGTGTGTTGAAACTGATCTGATAAAATAACTAGAAATGAAATGAACAACAGACACTTACTTGGGTTTTGGATCTTGACTGTAGAATCGGGTTCTGGGTGAGGCTTGTGCACCACCTGAGTGCAAACCTGTTCTGTTAAGATCTACATTAGACAAAATTCAGTTTGATTAGACCAGAAATCATTTTTTTTGTACATGTTATTCAAACAAACATAATCATCCATCTTCTAAATAAATTAAAGATAAGGTTTCAGGGAGAACACTTTCTATGAAGCGTTATAAAAACACATATGAATATAAATAATTAATATTTTTGCTAACACATTATTTAATATATTCTATTTTAATACAACATATTCCTGAATTGCCTGGAACTTGGATATTATCATTTTAATAAACATTGGTGTTTATCATAAAGCTGTTTCAGACACGTTTCATGCTTTTTACTCTTGGTAAAATCACTACATGCATAGTCTCTTGTGGCTTATTGTTTTAATAACTGTGGCAATAAAAATTTATGAATCGATATAAATGATTACAATGGTTATAATAAGGCATCATAATTTATTCAAATGCATTGAAGTGTATTTTTCCCTCGTTCTAAACTCGTTTTACACAAAGACATGAATATTTCTCGTTATTGGACAATTCTGCTTTTAGTAAAAATGAATCACGGTAGTTATAATCATATAACCATATAGAGAATTTCTACAGTGGCACTGGTAATTGAAAATGTTTGCTTCATTCTGCATTTGTGACAGCAGCCATATCGCTGAGAGCAAAACATACTGTGTGGACCTTTAGAAATACCTTTATAATGAATTACTGTATATATAGAAAGTGTTTAACCTAGAACCATTACGTGCAGACAAGTGGATACCTCATAGAGTGTGTTGTAGGTGGTGATGGTCACAGTGCTGGTGTGCATCATTAATCGCTCTCCGAGCAACGTGAAGAGGCTGTGTGTGTGCATGATCTCCACCTTCCTCCTGTACACAGACACACACACACACAGAGCACAGGGGGAAGTGAGACAAGAGGCACACGTGTCATGTTGTTTGCGGTGACATTGACAATGCAAAGGCAGGTATAACTCACTCACTGGTTCAATTTTACCCCACAGCCTTCCTCACCATTAAGATCAATGAGGAGACGCATGCTACTGGCACACTGATGTGATTAGAAGTGACACCACACTCCTCAAGGGCACACACACACACACACACACACACACAAACACACAGCTGTCAGTGGCCCTCTTACAGCCTTTCGGAGACATCATTGTTCCCGAGCACATCACTCAGGGGAAGGGGACGTCACGTGACAGCACAAGGACTGCCGGTCAAATGCATTTAATTCACCTCAAAGACAAGGCTGAAGATGCGTCTGACAAATTAATATGTAAATTAATGACACAAACAGTTCTGCAAGTGGGTGTGTCTAACATAAATCTAAATTTCCTAAATGTCTGTAATAACATAAATATGAAATCTGGGTTACACTTTATTTAAAGGTGTCCTTGTTACAGTGTAATTATACATTTGAGTACGGAGTAATATTAATTAACTACATGTACTTACTATATGGTTAGGGTTAAGATTAGGGTTCGGCTTAGGGTTACTTGCATGTAATTATGCATAATTTATAGTTATTATAATAGTAAGTACTACATGTAATGTGTAACAAGGACACATTAACAAAGTGTTACCCAAAATTGATGCCTTCTTCTTTATTTCATTCTTTCTTTTTTATTTAACCCTTAATGCACTTACATTTTTGGCCTTTTGCCACTTTTACTCCGAGAACAGTTGACAAAACAGGAAAAAATGGGAGGAAAACAAGTTTGTAAAATGACACTAACCAGATTTGAAGAATTATTTTTTTTCAGATCTGATTTTATTTTTAAGCAGGAAAGTGACGGATGTCTGAATAATGAGGGATAACATCAATACATTGTCGTTACAAAAAAAAAAAAGCAAGTTGTAAATAAAACAAAAACAAAGTCGTAAATAAAACAGATTATTTCAGTCTTATTTATATTTCACTCTTTCTACTTCAAAATTTCACATTTAATTTCATTTGTTACTTGGCATTTCTTTGTAATTTATTGTGATATTTACTACTAATTTCTGAGTGAAAATTGGTTTTATATTGAATTGTTTTCTTCGTAACATCTTGTCTAAAGCTCTGCCTTGCCGGACACACAAACTGTCAGAACAATTATTCCAGCAGCAGCCTGTCAGCTACAGAACACTCATTCTCTAAATGTGCTCTCTTCCCTTGCTGAAAGGGCAGGTACACGTAGCCGGGTCATTTCTGTCCATGCTGTACCTTTTGAACTCCTAAAATGCGGCTGTGTTGTAATCAAAGGGACTATTTTTATTAAAAGGTTTTAATGTACCAGACTTTCAGAAACACGCACTGCATAAACTCAAGAAACTGAAATGAAGAAACTTAACATGACAATTACCCGCACAGTAGGAATGATCTAGCCGAGGTTTCTTTGCATGCCAACATACCAAACTCAACTTTGTATGCTCATATACAGGTCTTCACACAAATGTTTTGATTATTAACACTCACTTGTGTCCCAGATGTTTCAGGAAGTAGCCAAGAACTTTAAGAGCTTGGACTCGTATACTCTCGCTTTTGGAAGCCAGGAGCTTGTAGATGACTCTGAAAATAAATTGTGGGAAATGTGGTTACATTATTGAATAACTGCAGATTTGCATTCTGTGTTTGCACTTGCTGTGCAGTTTGAGAAATATAGATGGTTTTCTACTCTCATGTCATTATAAACCTTGTGCATTTTTTTCACAAAAATATATTTTGAGAAGAAAATAGTTTCAGTTCTCATTGACTTCCATTGTATTTTTTGTCCATACAATGTAAGTCTATGGGAATCACAATTGTTTGGTTACCAACATTCTTCAAAATATCTTCTACTGAAGAAAAAAGTCATTTGGAACAACATAAGGTTGACCGAATTTTCATTTTTGGATTGACTTTTCCTTCAATTTAGAAAAATTATGAGATTATTAAATTATGAGAACAATCTTGATTACATATTTGAATCGATTGACAGCCCTAGTAATAAAATATCACAAAGATAACCAGAGGGTGTGAATTCATGGGGAGGGCAGTTCAAACAAGCACTTAAGTCGCTTGTGATGGGTTGTGAGGCGAGAGGGAATGTGATTGATGCAGCCGTGACAGCCCAAATCTATTTCAGTTACGTAACCGGACTACGTAAGAGCCGTTTGTCCCCGAGGCCTCACCGTATTCCATTCCTCTGGTCGAAGGCAGGGATCATGGAGGCGGGGTGCTCAGACATGAGCGCGACCAAGAGCTGGAGCACATCATGGATGTTTTCATCCTACAGGAAAGAAAAATGAACAAATAGACCTTGAACCACACAACAGTAGACTGTAATGATACACCAGACACCCTTAAAATGTCTGGGTGTTATATAATGCTGCACTTAACTAGCAGTTTTCAGGATTCATTTGCTGTTTTCAATCAAATGGCTGCAGAGATGGTGCATTACTGCAATTTCATGAGACTCAATCAAAGCATTAATGCAGCTTTCAGGATAATACTAGCGCCTTCCTGGTGGACTCAAATACTTCTGCACTTCTGACACCGGAGGTCAATATTTCAGCCTTCCAAACAGATTTAAGCAGCTTGTTTTCCATTAAGAACGTGGAACAATTTTTGTTTAATACAGGCTAAAGAAAATTAGACCACAAGACCTTTGCTCTGTTTATTGATCAGTTTTACCTCATGCATGGTTAGCAGGTAGTTTAATATGCTCTGCAACTCATCTTCCTTCACTCCTCGGTCCTAAAAGAAAAAAAAAAGCACACAATATAAACAGGCTTACATTGTAATTTTTCTAGTTCTAATTTTTACACATATTTATAATTACTTTTGATAAAAACTGTGCTTTAAATGTGGTCAATGTCAGTTTATTTTAGTTTTTTTGTCCATTTAACTCAGACTAAAATGGCATAAAACACAAAGGTAACAGACAAAAACAAAAATTTAAAAATGCTAAAAGAAACAGAAATGTGTATCAAACATAAAAATAAGCATCCTCCCCCCCAAAAAAATAGGAGTTATGTTGTCAATTATTTCTAATTTAAAGACTTCTCTTAATAAATAAATTATTAATAATAATAATAAATAATGACAATAATAATATTCAAATTTTTCTAATGCTTGACGCTTGAGTTAAAGGTTTTAAAGGCACCCGATTTAAGGTCTTGCAATGTATTTCTTGAATGCTATGGATATTGGTTTTAAAATGTTTTGACATCTGAGGAAATACTTTGGTACTTATAAAACTGATGCTTAATTGATACTTAAGTTGGGTATTTCAAGGTTCTGAATGAAGAGGAAAACATTGCAGCTGCTTTAACATTGTGTAAGCGTGAATGAGACTCATTATTTTGTTTTTGTGAAGAGAAGGGCATTTGTGATGGATTGGGGCCACTATTACAAGCCACAAGCCGCTCACAATGCTAACAACTGCACGAAAAGTGAGGAAATGTGGAAAGGGGGCAGAATATAATAGGAATGAAACAAAAAGGCAGCGGCTAAATGAAAAACGTGCTGCTTGGCAATCCACATCATGCTTCTCAAAACAGGACAACAGCCTATGCACATAACACACATTGCTTTGTGTCGAGCGATGATCCATAATGCAATTCTCTCTATGTTGGCCCCATCAAGCTGTCTGTATTGTTTTTAAACAAAAGCAAATAAACAAATTTCTGCACGACTGCCTTTCAAACTGGATCGAATTTCAGGGAAAAATTTTGATAAATTGTGTTATTTGAACAAAGCAGACATATCTTCTCGCTGTCACTGCTTGGGGACTAATGCATTTTATTCAGGCTGCCCGAATCATTGCAATGACATGTCAAATAAAATCAGTTTTGAAGAACAAAGTGCTGATGCACATAAGGCAGAGCAGAAATGACATGGAATATGTTATCATATGTGTCAAAGATGTTTCAACAAAGTCTAATTTAGATTTTTTTTTTTAAATTTCTGATATAGTCTTTGATCAATGACATTTGAAATCAAATTCAAAATGCTAAATTAAAAAAATATATATACAGAACAATAAGTTATACAGTTTACACAGCATATTATGCGTACTCTCTCTCAACATACTATAATTACACAAAATTATATATATATATATATATATATATATATATATATAATTTTAACATATAAATATATACACACACACACACACACACACACACATACATATAAATACACACACACACACACATACACACACACATACATACATATAAATATATATACATACATATATACACATATCAGACACCAGATATAATTGTTGATATCTTTTTACTAGTGGGTGCAGGACACTATAGTTCATTTATAAACTGTGATAATGTGAGAAATGTTGAAGGTGTCTGAATAAATTTTGGTTGGACTGTATATATACACACACAGATATATTTAACATCTATAATTATTTTGTACTGTCTCACCTTGAGAATGAGCTGTTTGAGGAAAAGAAGCATGAACGCCCGCAAGGATATAATCTCCTTCTGAGAGGGCCGAGGACCATCTGTAAGAAAACACTGTGATTTACAATGATTACATGGGTTGCACACATCTAAACACTTAATAAACACCTGCATTATGGCAATTAAATATATGAGAGATTTTTAATATATGCTATTAATCATCATCAATGAACCGAAAAATTAACATAATGCCTTATGCCATTTTGATTCCTAATTCTACGTTCAAGCTAATGTTGAAAAAACATATTTAGAAGGCTATATCACTCTATTTGTATATTTTACAAAACTAACAGCTAAAAATCACAGTGATTTTCATGTAACCCAGCTATTAATGAACAAACTAAAACTTCAAAAAATCAAAATGTTTAGGGACGAGGGAAAAGCCGCAGCTCAAAGCTGCAGGTTTCTTGCAATGGTTACGAATAGAATTCAGTACAGCGAGAAAAACAAGAAAAACAAAAACAACACTTAAGACGCAGCTTAGGGAATACAAACCCCTAAACGACACACCAACCCCATTTCCAAACCACACAACCACCCTATTTCTCTCTCTCCTGCCATCTCTTTTTTACAATACCAAACTATCTTTCTCAAATAGACACACACGCATACCCCTCATCTTTTATTGAACACGCAGCACCCAGACGTTACAAAGCTGCCATGAGAAATTCATATCATTTTCTGTATGGTAAGCCAAAGTGTAACAGAAAGCTCAGTGGACGTGTGTGATGTAATGAAGCAGGTCAGCGTCCTCCCCATTTCCAGCCATGTTCATCCACACATCAGGTGTGTGACGCCATTGCCCTGCAGTTCAGCAGTCTGTGTGTAGTTACACACACAAGCGCTCTGCCGCGTACTGCATTTGTACGCTATGACCGTGGTCGAGGTCTGTTTGTAGCCATGTACATCCCTTGACCTTTCCCAGCTGCAATGATTTGGTGCAGTGAGAGAACTGATGACCGGGTGTAGACTGTGAGATCTGGAGGAAGAGATTTGTTTGTGATAGTGTTCAGCATCCCAAGGGTCAAAACAAGGCCAGTTGAGATGATCAATCAATGCCTGTTACCATCACATATCTGTTGCATATGTAAGAATACAACAAAATATTTGCCATTGACTGATGTAAGACAAAATGTGCTTACAGATATGCAAATGAATGCTTTGTGAAATGCAATCAAAAAATTAGATTAATGCTGTTTTTGTCGGCCAAAAGTTTAATTTATATTTACATATATTTAAATCATTTGACTTTTAAAATCCAATTAAGAGTAAACTTAAATTAACACTACGTTACATGGAAACAAACACACTCGCTCTACAATGTGACAGACCCGTGCAGCATCATGGGAAGGGCAACAGGGTTGCCATGGTGACACGGGTTCTGCATCTACCAGAGATAAGCAGGCAGAAGTCACAGTGTTATCTGAAGTACACAGGGACGGGAAGAACGAAATGCAACTACAGGCTTGTCTAAATGGGCCAGTACATCCACTATAGAATATAATGGACAACATCCAAAAACTGTAGCACATGCACAGCTTTTACCAACCCAGCAGATCAAAGAAAATGTGCACGTTCGTTTCCCGTTTTTAAATTACCCTTGCTCTCATCTTCTGTTCACTTAAAGTTCATCTTTAAACTTTCTAAATGTAATCTTTGGTAATTCTCAAAATATCAATTTCTCATACTGTACTTTCTAATGATGAATAAATTAACTTATAGCATTTAAATTTTTTTATTTTATTTCTAGTGTTTTGCTTTTAATTTAATTTACTATACAAAATTGGCCAGATTTTTAATATCAGTGCATCCTTATATATAACAAAGTTCCTTTAGTTTGTTTTTATTTATTTAATTAAAAATAGTTCAACTAATAAGGATGCACACAAATGATCAAAAGTGAGATGAATTGTTACAATTACAAATTTCAATGTTACAAAATTCTATTTCAAATCAATTATGTTCCTTTGAATTCTCTATTCAACAAACCTTTCAAAATTGATGATAATTAGAAATGCACCAAATCAGCAGATTAGAATGATTTCAGAAGGCTAATGTGACACTGAAGACTGTAGTTATTCAAGCTTTGCTATGACAGAAATAAATTACATTTTAAAATACAGTGGGGGAAAAAAGTATTTAGTCAGCCACCAATTGTGCAAGTTCTCCCACTTAAAAAGATGAGAGAGGCCTGTAATTTTCATCATAGGTATACCTCAACTATGAGAGACAAAATGAGAAAAAATAATCCAGAAAATCACATTGTAGGATTTTTAAAGAATTTATTTGCAAATTTGGCTGACTAAATACTTTTTTGCCCCACTGTATATTCAAATAGAAATTGTAATAATATTTCACAATTTTACTGGTTTACTGTATTTCTGATCAAATAAATGCAGCCTTCCATGTCAAATTTTGAACAGTAGTGTACCTTTGCTGTCATCATGTGATGGCTAAATTTAATTGCAGCATTTAGCTGATTTTAGTCTTAGTGTTTTGTTTTTCATTTATACTGTATATATAAAACAGTATTTATTCAGTATCAGTGAGAACATTTGTATTTGTACTGGCCAGAATTTTAATGGATCAATGCATTTCATATATAATACCATTTTATTTGCTTCTTTACCATAATCAAATATTGTATCAGCATTATGCCGCATTTGCTATGCTGCTTTTTTAAATATATATTTTTTAATACATTCTTTATTTACATTTCACATGTAAACTGGGGCTAATGAGCAATGTTTATTAGCATGTCAATATCATTCCTGCTCACAGCCGACGCGGAGAAACACATCATGAGGCCGTTATTGATGTTGGATGCTACAAATCATTCACTTCAGACTTTAAAGTATCACTATACCATCTATCTAACGCAGAGACTCACCTCTGGGAATGACAGGCCAGGATGGAGAAAAAGAGAGATGGCAAACAGATGGAAGAACTGACAGAATTTGCATGTGACATTTGGGAAAACAGCGACTAGGAAGGAGAAACACATGAAAGAAGAACTACAGCAGGCAAGAGAATGAGAAAAGAAATAAGAGAATGATAAAATGGGGAAGGGCGAGGAATCTGGAAAACACTGAAGACCGAGACCAAGTCATCTTGAGAGGGAACCAGATTTAGAATGAAGATGAGCACCAAGAGAGAACAGAAGTCTGAGGCACAAAAGTGCACAGGATACAAAAATAGACCGAGACAGAGGGGGAAAAAGAGTGGGCAGTGTTTCAAGATTCATTCATGCTTAATATTGCTGGCTGTCTTTATGTAGACACAGTCCATCTCAACACGACATGGTTAGCGTGTGTGAAGACTTCTGAACTCAGCTGTTCCCAGAACATGTTTATTTCCTCTGTGGTATTTCGAGATCTCACTATCTAGGGATTTCATTTAGGCAAATGTCACTACCTGATCCTGCAAAACAATGTGCAACTATTCAGCACAGTATAACTTGAGGGGTAAAAGATTCCTGTGAGGTGGTAAATTCTACAAACAGACATTTCTGAAGACTCACCCAGGCCTTTAGGGGTGATACTGCTACTTTCCAGGGGGTTGCTGGCCCAGTAATAGTACTTGAGGGTGTGCATCAGCTGCAGGACGGTGCCCACTCGACGGATGGTGCTGTAGATGGTGGCGGTGCCAATGAATTCTGCCGACAGGTATGTGTAGAGGGAAAGCTGAACCTGAGAAATAAAAAAAACACACACACAGTGGATTACATGATTAAAAATGGGCTGAAATGGTAGTAACAAAAACAATAGTTCTGGTCCTAGATTCTGATTGGCCAATATAGACTCAATGCCATGCTTAAATACAGAGTACAGTTAGTTTACATGTCAAGGAATATATCTTTTAGCAGAAGGATGATTTGTAATTAATTGCTTAATAAAATAATTTGCGTAATAAAACATTTTAATGACTATTTTGTCTTTAATACAACAATATAATTTATAAAACTATTAATATGAATTTTGAAATAAAAATATTCATACATTAAAATGTATATATTTAAAAGCAACAAGGCACTCAAAGCAGCGCTAAATTGTAAATAGCACTTCAAAACATAATCAACACTAATGCTACTGTTCAAATGTCTTAAGTTTTTGAAAGTTATATTCAACGAGGCTACATTTATTTGTTCAAAAATACTTGAACCATTTGTAAAAAAAAAAAAAAAAAAAAAGGTTATTTCAAATTGTAATAATATCTCCCAGTATAACTGGGAGATAATATTACCATTTGAAATAACCATTTTCTAATATTTTTTTATATATATTTTAAAATTTAATTTATTCCTGTAATGGCAAAGCTGAATTTTCAGCAGCCATTTCTCCAGTCTTCAGTGTCACATGATCCTTCAGAAAGATCCTTCTCGGTGCTCAAGAAATATTTCTTCTTATTATTGATGCTAAAAACAGTTGTGCTGCTTAATATTTCTGTGGAAACCGCAATACCTTTTTTTTTTAATTCTAAAACTGTTGATTTTTTTTGTAACATTATGAATGACTTCACTGTCACTTGATCAAATAAGCACATTCTTGATAAATAAAAATTATTAGTAAAAAATTATCTGACCCCAAACTTCTAAACATTAGTGTATATTATGCTACTATTCCTCCAGCTGAAGCAACTGACAAACCTTTCACAAGAATAAATAAATATGAAAAAAACAGCACATCTGAGCTAGATTTCTCCTTTTTTACAAAATTGTTTCTGTGAGAGAAAAAAAACAAACATTCCTGTCTTTCTGTGTAAAAAGCCATTCTCCTGAAGCTGTCCCTGTGGGACCCTCACACAGACACACACACACATCTGTGTATCACACATTTACACACAGCCATTTCTTACACTGATCAACACGGACATGCTAATTAGGCTCAGGCTTAATGAGGCTTCTGTGGAAACTAAGTTTTATCAGTGTATTTAATCTCATGTTTGACCCAGCCTGATGATTCAGGTCAATATCATGGGGACATTTCCCCCCTAACCAAATTACAGGTCAAAGATAAAGCAAGACAACCAGGACCTCACTATGACGAGTTGAATCCACTAAGCTTTTTACATTTTCTTATAAAAATGTAAGCAGTGCCTGAGCAAATCTCACTGCCATGTGTTTGCTATAGGTGCTTTTTAAACAAATTTCTTTGTGTAGATCAAGGAAGAACACTGAAAAGTGTGAAATCTGCCTCAATCCGAAAAACCTAATCTATAGGTTGACTTTTTCTTTCTCCATAGCAGTAGTATTTCACATATCTGCTTCCTGTACTCAAGCCTTCACTTCATCTCACTCTTTTTCATTCCCTCTGGATGTTTCTTCATTCTCTCTATCATAAAGGGCTGTAGTCGCTGTGGGATATTCACTCCTCTGCGTGGACTGGCGAGGGAACAAAAGCGGGTGATCGTTTCTTCCTGCAGTCATGTTTCCTAGGTCATTATCCAATAATTGAGCCTCTGCTTTTGTAGAGGAATGACACCTTTTTTTTTTTTTTGGAGCCTTTGGATTCAAAGCTTACTCACACACTTCACACTTCGTAAACTTGACGGTTAAAAATATCTAGAAGCATATGCTTGGTGCAATCAAGTACAAAAGTTCTTCATGCATAATATAAGCTGACTGCTTGGGTTAGAATTTAATTAACACAAATACTCTTACAAAAGGTCCTTTGGTGGTGGTTTAATGGGATACAGATGGTATCAAGACTGTATATTACATATATTGCCATTTTCACACTATTATTTTCACTATTTTAATGTAGTTACAAATATTGATTCTCTGCATATCAATACAATGTGATAATTACCTGTAAATGATATGTACACTACCATTCAAATGTCTGGCATCAATAACACTTTAAACTGATCAAAAGTGACAGTTAAGACATTTAAAATATTACAAAATATTTATATTTCATATAAATATTTTTCTATTCTTCAAAGAATTCCGTAAAATGTAACAGTTTTCCACAAAATTATTAAGCAGCACAATACTGATAATAAGAAATGTTTTTTGAGCACCAATTTGGCATATTAGAATGATTTCTAAAAGATCATGTGGCACTGAAGACTGAAATAATGATGCTCAAAATTCAGCTTTGCCATCACAGGAATAAAAAAATAAAAATAAATAAATATTAACAGAAAACAGTTATTTTAAATTGTAATAATATTTCACAATATTACTCTTTATACTGTGTGTTTGACCAAATAAATGCAGCTTTGGTGAGTATAAGAGACATATTTCAAAACTAACTTTTGAAAGTTAGTGTAAAATATTTTAATACCTTGAAATATTATTTCAAAATCACATTATTATATTTTGAAATTGCATTATTATTATCTACTATTTCATAAAAGGTTTAAAAATAACAATAACGGCTATGGACACTGAAATATTTAACAAAAATGGATCTTTAGCGTGTGGGATGAGCTCACCTTAGCTGGTGTATGGATCCAGATAGCAGCATTAAACAAAACATGATCACACAGCTGCTTCAGTAAAGGAGCTCCATGAGTCAACCCATCTAGATACTTGGCAAATGACAGAAACTGCTCCAAAACTGCCCTGGTGATGTGCACCCGAGAAGACTAATGACGAGAGAGAGAGAGAGACAGGTGTCAGACAGACAAAGTGAGAGACACAGTATAGAGTGAGACAGACCATGTGTTTCAAGCTTTTGACACTTTTTATTAATAACAAACTCTAGATGCAAGCTGGATTCGATCCTGCATCTCCTGAACAAGTGCTGTAGCTCAGTGTGTCTAGAGCAGTGTTTCCCAACCGGGGTGCCATCTGTCGAGAGCAGGGGTGCCGTGTAAAAAAATAATTTTTTAATATTTATAAATTGCTAAAATGTTAAAAAAAGCATCTATTATATAATATCCATTTCTGATGTCGCCAATAATTAGAGATGCACCGAAATTTTTGCTGCCGAAAATTAATATTCTGCAGTTCTTCCCTGTTGTACCAAATATCTATACTTTTCAAATTATCATATCGAAGTTAGAAATTCAAATATTATGACAAAATTAATTTTGTAGGGTGCCACAAGTTTGTTAAAATTTCCAAAGGGTGCCGCGACTAAAAACAGGTTGGGAAACACTGGTCTAGAGCATGTGTGTTGCCCACTAAGCCATGGCTCTGATTATCTTAAAGGGATAGTTCACCCAAAAATGAAAATTCTGTCATTAATAACTCACCCTCATGTCGTTCCAAACCCGTAAGACCTTCGTTCATCTTCAGAACACAAATTAAGATATTTTTGAAAAAATCTGAGAGCCCTCTGACCCTCCATAGACAGCAAGGGTCCTACCACGATCGAGGTCCAGAAACGTAGAAGACGCACGCTGTACATGTACATGCTGCGATTTTTTGCCCAGCCTTACTTATTTGAACCAGAACAGACGATAAACTAAGAGAGATGGACGTTCTACATCAGACGCATGCGTCGTGATACTCTTGTGAACGCGCATCGACGGAGACTGACACGTAAGAGAAGAAATTGTTGAATAAAGTCAATATTTTTGTTTTCTTTGCGCACAAAAATATTTTATTTGCTTCATAAAATGAAGGTTGAACCACTGATGTGATATGGACTATTTTAACGATTTCCTTACTACCTTTCTGGGCCTTGAATGTGTCAGTTGTGTTGCTGTCTATAGAGGTTCAGAAAGCTCTCGGATTTCATCAAAAATATCTTCATTTGTGTTCTGAAGATAGGCAAAGGTCTTACGGCTTTGTATTCATTTTTGGGTGAATTATTTCTTTAACTATTTCAATTCAGATGATTAAAATGATAAATAGTCATCGTCTGCAACTTCTGCGAATCTGACACTATATATCTGTTTTATAATTCTAATTTACAATAAACTGACTTTTAATTAGAAAAATAATAATGGACGTCTGTCTTACCTTCTCCAGTAAATAGCCAATAACCAGGAAGCCTTTTCCGCCCAACATCTGCTCTTGCATGGCTACTGAACTCTTCAACAACTCCACTAGAAAAGCTAGGAGAGTGGCACTGCAAGCAGAAATGAAGAAATACATTTAAATATGTAGCATTTGTGAGAGAACAGGATCAGGATACAATGCATAAGGGGTTCAACCTGCATTTCTAACATGAGCACCAAGGCTCAACACATCCGCAGGACAGTCACCAAACACTAAACCACAACTCCAACATTGCATACACTCTTAAAAACAAAGGTTTCAAATGAAGCTTTCAGATCAGTTCTTCAAAGAACCATTTTTTCTTACTGTGAAGAACATTTTCAAATCTAAAGAATTGTTTTCCAAGGTTCCATGGATGTTAAAGGTTCTTCTTGGAACCATCAATGCTGATAAAGAACTTTTATTTTTAAGACTGCACATTTCTTATGGCAGCCGTATGTTTAAGGACACCTCAAGGGCAAGATCGTATCTCAATGAGCAGTAAAAAATGAAAAATTTACACACACACGCACATAATGATGGTTTCCCTTCCTTGAAGCAATATCATCATTCCAGCAAACACGAATTATGTCTTAGTTTCTTAAATGACGTAGTTGAGGCAGTGAGATTGCAGATGAAATCCTCAGAGTGTCTCTTTCTTTTTCTAAACTGCCATAAGCCGACTGATGGCCCGGTGACCTCACCCATCTCCCCACAGACAGTAAACCCCAGCGGGGAACATTACCACTGATCGATACCCCACAGATCTCTGCTCCGCTGATTATGCCTGCCAGCTCACTGCTGATCTCTAATCTAGTCGCCATGCCTGGAAGCTCACCGTGCAGAACCAAGCGATGACCTGAGAAATGAGGGTACGACCATACCAGCCTCTCATCCCTTTTTGAGGGGTCTCTCTCTCATTCCTAGTGTCTATGTGAACATGAATGTCATGAATCTCTCAAAATCCCACGCTCTCTCTGTCACGCTCTATTTCTATCCGAGAATGACAGATTCCATTTATAATTCATGGCAGACGTCCCTGTCAGTGACTGACTTGAGTTTTAGTCTCCATTATGGAAGCAACTTATTATTATCAAATACAAAACTAGAAGCTATGGACCTAGGGCCTAGGGAGGGCCATGCAGACACTACTTTGACATTTACAATACAGATAATTCCTCAGTTTCACATTGGTTGGACAAACAGATGTAGTGTACAGTATAGCAGTGCCCCAAATTCACACAATTGGTTGAGCCAATTATTTTATATTATATATAAATATATTTAATATATAAACAAACATATGTTTCTTAAATATATACTGTACATGCATGCGTTTCTATTTATTTATATATACATAATAAATATACACAGTATACACACATATATTATGTAAACAAAAACATTTATTTTGGATGCGATTAATCGCGATTAAACGTTTGACAGCACTACTTTTTATGTTTTCAAAAGAAATCTCTTTTGCTCATCAAGGTTGCATTTATTTTATTAAAAATGCAGTATTCAGTAATATTATGAGATATTTCAATTTAAAATAACCATTTTCTATTTTAATATATTTGAAAATGTAATTTATTCCTGTGATGGCAAAGCTGAATTTTCAGCATCATTACTCCAGTCTTCAGGGTCACATGATCCTTCAGAAATCTTTATAACATGCTGATTTGGTGCTTAAGAAACATTTCTTATTATTATCAGTGCTGAAAACAGTTGTGCTGCTTTTGTGGAAACTGTGATGTATTTGCTTTTCAGGATTCTTTGATGAACAAAGTTAAAAAAGAACAGCATTCAAACTGAAATCTTTTGTAACATTATAAGTATCTTTACTGTTATTGAATAAAAGCTTTGATTACTTAAAAAAAATTTAAATACCCCAAACTTTTGAACGGTAGTAGTTTCTGTATGTTAACCTGGGATAGAAAAGAGCAGTGTAGAAAAAAGGTAGAATATTCTCTTATAGATATAATTGGCATATGATAAGTTAAAATTTAAGATTTAATGAACCCTGAGTGTTGCAATTGTAAATTTAGCTCTGTGGATCTGCGGTCTGTGTGGTCAATACTCACCAGACGGTCGTCTCCACAGGGCTGTCGTTAGGTTGCCTGTAGTCCAGCTGTGAGAAGAGCGGGAAGAGAACTTGGATTCCTCCAATAGAGTGGATGGCGCTGTGGATGGAGTGAGTGACGATGGCCTTCACATCCTGCATACACAAACAAAAATGCCCACTTGCTTATTAGAAAACTGGGTAGGAAACTTTCATAGAAGGTGATAATGCATTATATATATAATGCAGTATACGATCAGTTGTATGATGATAATAAGCTGCATGTTGTGCCTTCAGCCTCACAATATGTGCTTATATTTTCTGTTACATCCATGATATGTCAACGTCATCGTCCTTATTATGAAGATATTAGTTGGGATTTTTAGATAAGTTGCCTCATTTTAAGAAGGTAATGAAAAAAAAGGCAAATTCATTTAATACATGTATGATTAAATAGAATATGGTTCTTTCTACATTAAAACACTTTTCACATAAAAAAAACTTACATTAAACTAAATCGAAAATTACATGGACATGTTTAACTATTTAATCAACATTAATTAATTAATTAATAACATTTCCTCCCTACAGTTTTGTAACCCCTTTTTTTGTTCCCCAGAACTCAAGATTCAGTAAAAAAAAAAGCAGAGATAAACATATGTTATGTGTGTGTGAGAGTAAAAACTGACCTGCAGCATCAGGGCATGTGGTGAGTGCACAAATATGGAGGGGTTTTCCCTGGGCGAGGACTCCAGGCACAGCTGTGCATCGGTGGCTTTAGCGTTGTAGGTGAAGCCTATGCTGCTGGCCAACTTCCCATCATACAGAACCTGCTTATGGTGCTCCGCCAGGTGGATGTCGCTTTCCGACTTGAACTTAAACGTGCTCTGTGAAGACAGAGAAACACATAAATGAGCAACATCCTTCAAATTAAGTTCTCTCACATTTAGCTTCGCTTTCAGTCTCTCTTCGCAGCAGACTCGTGGAAAGCACCAGGGACCGGGTCGCATCCCAGAGGACTGATAATGGTAATAATAATAATAAAAAGCTTTAATTTCTGAAGCACAGAGCAGCCACACACACAGGCGTACATTATCTTAATGAAGCTCTGGCTGCAGAAATGTGCCATTTCACTAATGGCTCTAAACGTAAGTGTGAGTCGGTATGAGCATGTGTGTGTAAATGTGCGTGTATCTGCAAAATCTCTCTCATGTAAAGCACTTCGTGTCAGTAGTCATCTACTCATCTGAGGGAGTGAATGAGAGACTTGCATAAGATCAAGCAGAATGTCCTGCCCGTGCATGACTGGACTTTCAACACACCATTTGATTTGCTTTTTTTCCACAAAAATTTATATATTTATACATCAAGATAGATGGCCAATTTAAAGACATATAACATCAAATTCGACTTTTTTACATATTTTTATAAATAAATAAATACATAAATGAATAAACAACATAAAAATACTATAATAAATACACAATAAATAACATAAAAATAAATACTCAAATAAATATTATAAATAAGTAAATGTAATCTTTTCTTTGCTAATGAAGTAACTACGGTCAAGTAAGAGGGAACAAGTATTAACCAGTAATATCAATCTGAAATGCCTCTCCTTCCACTTGTCATCCAAAAACCAATCAAATCCCATTGTATAAAATCCCATCCCATCCCACATTATGTCTCACAGAATATTCCGTTTTATTATATAAAATGGAATATTCTATGAGACATAATGCCTTAATTACCTGTATTTGGATTTTATTCAATATTGTGTTTAAATTACATCAAAAACCACAGTATAAAAGTATACGGGACTGATGGAATATTATGCAAATATATTGGTATGCACATAATCAATAAAATTTTCAACATCTAACTGCCTCATGAGTCTACAGCAGCACTTCTGAACAGAAAGGACAGATGCATTAGTAATGAGAGATGCATAAACACAGTCACACTCACGGAGCAATTCTTCAAAAAACAGTACGATGTAAATAAGCCCTTGCACTGGCACTGTGATTCACTGCAGTTTCCTCAGGCCTACTGCCAATGTGTCCACTTAGCAACACTCTGACTGGCACTGAGCGCAGCATCAAGACTTCTCTACCAGACTCTATTCACACACCCGCACACCAGACCAAAATACACACACAACTAACATAACTAGCTCACTAAATAGGAACATACAGCCTTCCATTAAGAACAGCATAAGACGTTTTATCATGCAGAGTCTAAAAGCTAAATCACAGCATGCTATGAGCACAATAATTAAAGCATCAAAACTTAAAATATATACAAAAATAAAAACAACAATTCTGAAATATCAAATAAATCATTTAAATAAATAATAAAATAAACAACAATAACAATAATACCTATAACTATACAAATAATAATAAAACTATAAGACAAATTGTAGTAAAACTATAATAATCTAATAATAAATAAATAAATATTTATATGTACAGGCCTACATATTGTAGCATTTTTTATCCAAAAAAAAGTCAAAGAGTCAACAATATTCATAATATAAAATGCCAGGTTTATTAGACAACTAGATTAGGACAATAGATAAGGACAACTAGATTGTAAATAAATAAATAATAACAACAACTATATAAACTAACAATAAAATTATAATAAAACTCAAGAAAATAAATATTTTCATGAAGTTTTTCTCAAATACAACTTTCTTTACTGATGATGAAACCATAGCTATGAGGGGAAAATATTAACCAATAATTAATTTTATTATAATTGTTTTGCCTTTTTCATGCTTTTTCATGGATAGGACAGGAAAGTATAAATAATAACAACAACTATATAAACTAACAATAAAATTATAATAAAACTCAAGAAAATAAATATTTTCATGAAGTTTTTCTCAAATACAACTTTCTTTACTGATGATGAAACCATAGCTATGAGGGGAAAATATTAACCAATAATCAATTTTATTATAATTGTTTTGCCTTTTTCATGCTTTTTCATGGATAGGACAGGAAAGTTTGGGCTGGAGATTTGGGAATGGGACTGGTAAAGGACCACTAATCACTAGGCTATCAGTACCGACACCAATAATTAATATTAATATAAAATAATAACCAAGTATGCTGTTAGTATACTAATTAAAGCATCAAAACTAAAAAAAAAAGGTTTTAATTCAGATTTTTATATATATGACAAATAAATATATCTCTACATATAATATAAAGTACAAAAACTAAGTACACAATAAATAAACAAACAGCATATAAATATACAGTAGTTAATTGCCTATGCGACTAGCCGGTTGTTTTATGACCATCAAATCCACCAACATGACTCTTTTATAATTTTTAACCACTTTTCCCTGATAACATCCCAAAAAGGGTGTTCTATCATATTCATCTAACTTCTGCAGACATATTGCATCAAATTTGTACGAAAAGTGTAGTTTATAATCTCAAACACTACACAAAAAGAGAAAGAGACCATTAATATGATCACGCAGTCAGTCAGCATGAGCACAATATGTAATCTGGCCCAGTGTTCCGGCACGTTCACATGGCATTCATCTTGTCCGTAACGCAGGGCACAGGAGCACCGGCAAACTCAAGCAGCTATCTGGGAATCGGGTCACTGCTTCAACACACCCTATGGCTGACAGCCCATGCTGCAAAGCTAGCACAGTTTTTCCTTGCTGTCTCGCTCTCTTTTGCTCCTCGCAATCCCATGAGAGGACAGCTGCACCAGCGGCAGCGACAGAGACTAACAGCACTGGAATTAAGCAGAGCCTTCATACACTGATGATCTATATAACTTACAAACACACACACACACACACACAAAGTTGCCGGTCCAGAAGGCTCTCTTTGCCCCATACCTCACATGCTAATTACCAATAATTAATATTAATATAAAATAATAACCAAGTATGCTGTTAGTATACTAATTAAAGCATCAAAACTAAAAAAAAAAGGTTTTAATTCAGATTTTTATATATATGACAAATAAATATATCTCTACATATAATATAAAGTACAAAAACTAAGTACACAATAAATAAACAAACAGCATATAAATATACAGTAGTTAATTGCCTATGCGACTAGCCGGTTGTTTTATGACCATCAAATCCACCAACATGACTCTTTTATAATTTTTAACCACTTTTCCCTGATAACATCCCAAAAAGGGTGTTCTATCATATTCATCTAACTTCTGCAGACATATTGCATCAAATTTGTACGAAAAGTGTAGTTTATAATCTCAAACACTACACAAAAAGAGAAAGAGACCATTAATATGATCACGCAGTCAGTCAGCATGAGCACAATATGTAATCTGGCCCAGTGTTCCGGCACGTTCACATGGCATTCATCTTGTCCGTAACGCAGGGCACAGGAGCACCGGCAAACTCAAGCAGCTATCTGGGAATCGGGTCACTGCTTCAACACACCCTATGGCTGACAGCCCATGCTGCAAAGCTAGCACAGTTTTTCCTTGCTGTCTCGCTCTCTTTTGCTCCTCGCAATCCCATGAGAGGACAGCTGCACCAGCGGCAGCGACAGAGACTAACAGCACTGGAATTAAGCAGAGCCTTCATACACTGATGATCTATATAACTTACAAACACACACACACACACACACACACACACAAAGTTGCCGGTCCAGAAGGCTCTCTTTGCGACAATGCCAAGTGCCCCATACCTCACATGCTAATTACCACGGCAATGCACAGCCAGAGAGCAGCTTGTTGGCGGTCACATGCTGACCAGACATCTGGACTTCCTCTGGTAAAGGGACCACATCAACCAGCAGCAGCAGCAACACACACTCACATCCAGACTTTCACAGACAAACTGACAGATAAGGACAAAATGAGCAACAGATATATGAGCACACACACATTCTGGCCTCAAATTTCCATATATATTCCATATATGTTGCATGCATGTAATAATCGGCTTCATATGACTCGACATGGCATGCTATCATTCTGTTTATACTAGTTTTGTATTATGCAGTATGTGTATTATGCAGAACCTGTGCATTTTATGTATGCTTGAATGCATGAATGCCTGCTACATTTGCAAAAATGTGGATTATATATGCAGTAAACAGAGCATACTCTACACCAGTGTTTCTCAACCTTGGTCCTGGGCGCCCCCCAGCACTGCACATTTTGTGTGTCTCCCTAAACAAACACCTGATTCAACTCATTAGCTCATTAAAAGAAACTCCAGGACCTGAAATGGGTGTCAGATAAGGGAGACATACAAAATGTGCAGTGTTGGGGTGCGCTCAGGACCAGGGTTGAGAAACACTGCTCTACACTACATCCCAGAATGCAATGCACTGTATGTCTCTTGACCTTTATTTCAAGACTGACCAATCAATAATTCCTACCATCCTTGACTCATTATTTGATCATACTTCCAAGTTGACATATTCACATGAAATTAAATTGACAATGCAAGAATGTTTTCACTAGATGGTGTTTGTTCCATCATGCAATATACTGACGTAATTTGACAACAGTGTACAGCAGCATACTCTTGCTTGAAACATCATCTTTGCATAATGCATACTGTTTCATATACAAGAGGTTAGACTGAACGTGCAATGAAGTCATGTGACAGTAATATTGCATATTACTTGCAGTATCTATAACCTTTATTGCTACATGTTGCATATACTTTCTTTTTTTCCCCCCCAAGAAGTTAATACTTTTATTCAGCAAGGATGCATTAAATGGATCTAAAGTGACAGTAAAGACATTTATAATCTCCAAATAAGCTTATTAAAATGATTTCTGAAGGATCATGTGACACTGAAAACTGGTGCAATGATGCTGAAAATTCAGCTTTCCCATCACAGCAGTAAATTACATT